GTTCACTGGGCACCAGATACAAGGTATTGGGCCCCTGGCAGCCTGAACTAAAGGGGTTTACTGGGCCTTCACTGCCTCCTGGGCCTGGTTCAGTGCTCAGAAGGTAGTGAGAATGCTGAGTGAACAAGTCAATGTCCTTGTTCCTCAGAAACTGTGGGGGGAGGAAGCTCTATGGCTGCTGCCAGTTCCTCGACATGGCCCCGCCTAGATGTACATTTGTGTTGTGCACAGTGTCTATTAGAGCCCACCACAGAAAAAGGATTTTGTTATGCTGTGCTCCTAGTCAGCCCTGCTCTGTGGAGAGAGACTTCGAGGACTCCTGTGAAAGTCTAAAAGGAGCGTGTGTTCGATGTGCGTGGAGCTCCGCCTGCTTCCACACTGGCACACAGCTGGGCACCGCTTGCAGCCCTGTCCCCTCCCAGGTTCCTACAGGCCCCTGTCTGAGAGCAGTTGGCAGATGTGTGAGCAGATGTGCTGGCCCACACAGCTGCAGGAGCCAGTGTGGCTTCTGCCCGCGGACATACCTGCATTCCGAGCCTTCCCACTACTCTCTAGCCCTGGACCTCAAATAGTTACATAAGCCTTTTTTGTCTCTTCCTTCCTTCCTTCCTTCCTTGGTTTTTTGCTTTTGGTTGTAGGGCTTGAACTCAGGCCTAGATGCTGTCCTAAGCCTCTCTGTGCTCAAGGCTAGCTAGCGCTCTACCACTTGTGCCATAGCACCACTTTTGGTTTTTGAGTAGTTAATTGGAGATAAGAGTCTCATGGGGACTTCTCTGCCCAGGTTGGCTTCAAACCACAATCCCCAGATCTCAGCCTCCTGAGTAGTTAGGATGACAGGCGTGAGCTGGGCCTTTTGAGCCTCAGTTCTTCATCTGCTCAGTGGGTCTGTTAACACTGACCTTCTTCATTCTCCCAGCCAGTCACCATAGTTTGGGTTTGCTGTCAATCTATCCTCTAAGAGCTTAAGGTTTGGAGTGAGAGGAGACATGTTACTTCATGTTGAGAACAGGAAATAAGACTATATATGAACAGCTACAGTGGCACATGCCTGTAGTCTCAGCTGCTTAGAAAGAAGGTAACTGTTTGAGGCTAGCCTGGGCAAACAGCAAAACTCTGTTTCAGTAAATAAGCTAGGTGGAAGGCATAGATCAGAAGATCTTGGAAAACATAAGATCCTATCTGAAAAATAACCTAATGCAGAAGGGCTAGGATGTGACTCAAATGGTAGAACACTAGCTTAGCAAGTACAAGGCCCTGAGTTCAAATCCCAATAGTGCAAACAAAGAAGGGAAAAGGATTATCTGACCAGTAGGTGTATGATGGTCATTCAACAGAACGAATGAGACTATACTTAATGACACTGATGTATGTAAAAGGCCTTGAGTTCATGCACCCTAGAATGTGGTCTGAGGAAGAGGAAGGCACTCTTTATCTCCAGTTAACCACCAAAACAAAAAAACAAAAAAACCCTGGAAATAGAGCTGTGGTTCAAGTGGTAGAGAACTAGCCTTGAGTGAAAAAAGACTCAAAGACAGTGCCCAGACCCAGAGTTCAAGCCCCAGGACCGGCACGCACACGCACACGTGCACACAGAGACCCTGAGCTGGGGTATAGCTCGGTGACAGTGCTAGCCTAGCACGCCCAAGGTTCTAGGCTCCACCCGGCACGGAAGGCAGGGAGGCAGAGGCCTGGGCAGGGCTGAGGGAAGCTTTCTGGGGCAGCGTGCCATGGACTCTGGAAGGGACAGTGAGTGAAAGACTGTCGCTTGCTTTTCCTTTTATATAAGCTATAAGTAGAGGAAGTGAACCTCTGGTTTTACCCTGAAGTAAGGGGTTTCTTCTTTCTTTTTTTGGGGGGGGGGGTCAGTTGTGGGGCCTGAGCTCTGGGCCTGAGCGCTGTCCCTCAGCTCAAGGCTAACGCTCTATCACTTGAGCCACAGTGTCACTTCTGGCTTTTTCTGCTTATGTGATGCTGAGGCATCAAACCCAGGGCCTCATGCATGCAAGGCAAGCACTCTACCACTGAGTCACCTTCCCAGCCCTGATTTGCATTTCTTTATGGCCAGGAATGATGAGCATTTCCTCATGTGTCCCATTGCAAATTCCATTTCTCCTTCAAGACCCCCAGATCACACACTACTTCTTCCCTGAAGCCCCTCCCGGGTTACCTCAACCAGAAGTGATTGCTTCCTTCATTGCCTTTTTCACACACACACACACACACACACACACACACACACACTCCCACTCAGTAGTTATTCATGTGGCTTTCTCATTATCTACCAACACAGCTCCCTGAAGGCAGGGCCTTTTCTTTCCCACTTTAAACCTCTGCTTAGACCTAGCCCTGGTGGTACACATAGAATGTGGGGCATAAACACAAGGCCCCCAAAACACTAAGGGGTTGATACAAGTCTGTGGACAGAATGAGATTCTACTAGACAGATTTTTGCTATGTATGGGGGATGGGGACGGGGATAAAGTGTAACCGTGGCCTTAACAGGGCTGCCATCTGTCTCTTCCCTGAATATCTTGTGTTTTCTGCCAAAGTCATCAGACTGGACAGAGTGCTGGGGCTTTCTCTCCTTTTGCATTTCTTCAGTGAGGGATGGAGGGGAGAAAGGATAAAGAGAGAGGGGAAAAAAGTCTATTTTTAAAAATATTTTTTTTCTAACTCGGTTTCTGGATAACTCCTGAGTAACTACACAAATGAAGTGATTAATTTTGCTACTCCTGAAAAAAAAAAAAGTTTTTTTCTAATCCCAAAGTCATTTATTTTGGCTTTAGAGTAGACTAGCATTTGTGTCGGCTTTTCCTGCCTAATTACTTTTTGCTTAAGCTTATTTGTAAATTGTTTTAAATTCCTAGAGTCTGACAGTCTCCAGTCTGAGACCAATAGGATGGGGAAATAGAGAAAGGCTGCGGGTAGGAGCCGGACTCAGCCTTGGGCACCACAACTTGGCAGAATGGTTCCCAAAGTCTTAAAAATATGCTTACTCTTTGATCCAGTAATTCCACTCCTAGGAATGTGTCCCAAGGAAATAATGAAACAAGCTTGCAGAACGCTGGGGCAAAGGTATTCACAGCCTCTACATCAGCAAAAGCCAACTTAAAACACCGAAGAATGCGGACTTGATTAAGTAGAGGAGGCAGTTACCTCCACACGCTCGCCATCCAGCTGTGGGTGTCTTATATGGAAGAGAGCCTGGAAATGTGCACAATACCAAGTAACACTAGATTGGGGGCTGAGGGGGAACGGATGGAGGGAGGGATTTTATTTTGTGGTATAACACATTGTGTAACTTTGGTATCACTGGATAATAAAGTTAGGACTATTTTGTCCTTCTTTGTATTTCTTAACTTTTCTGCTTATATATGTAATGTTTCATTGGTAAAAATAGCTACCTTAAAAAAAACTATGATTTAAAAAAAATTTGTTTTTGTTTTTGAGTACTGGGATTTGAACCCAGGGCTTTTCCCTTGCTGGAATCTTGACACATTAGTCAGGCTTATGTCTAGCAAGGCTAAGCCTCCGAGTTCAAGCCCCAGTGCCACCAAAAAAAAAATTATATTGCCCAAATAATGGAAACATTTTAAATCATCCCCAGTGAAAATTTGTACTTTTTACCTTTTCCTTAACCTTTCATTGTCATCAGCTCAGAACTTCAAACCCAGATGCTGAGTGGGAAAGAGAGAGCACATGATAAATAAGGAAGACCACCATAGGCCTCTGAGACCCCCAAGTACCTCAGCTCCCGCACTCAGGACCAGCTCCAGGGACATTCATTCTGCATTGTCTGAACTGCCAGCTCTGTGCCCTCGGCAGAGTTCTTTTTTATTTGAAGTTCCTGAATTCCTAGGGTAGCTCACCATGCCACTGGAAGAAGAGCTTACAGGCTTGCCTCTTGTTTTTTTTAAATTAATTCTCTGTGTTTTAAACCAATGTTTAAGCTTCATGGAATGAGGGGGAAAAAACAAACAAATAAAAACAAAAATAAAGAACAGATGCCCTGTCACTCACCCCTGTAATCGTAGCTACTCAAGAGGCTGAGATCTGAGGACTGTGGTTCAAAGCCAGTCCAGGCAGGAAAGTCTGTGAGACTTTTAATCTCCAAGTAAGTACCAAAAAAGCCAGAAGTAAAATTGTGGCTCAAGTGGTAGAGCTTGATCAAAGAAGCCAAGGGACAATGTCCAGGCCCTAAGTTCAGGCCCCAGGACAAGCAAAAACAAAATAAAACAGCCTGCCACTGGTAGCTCACGCCTATGATCCTGAGTACTCAGGACACTGAGATCTGAGATTTTTTTTTTTGGTTAGTCATGAGGCTTGAACGTGGGACCTGGGCCTGTTGCTGAACTCTTTGCTCAAGGCTAGCACTCTATCACTTAGAGACCTAGGGCTACTTCCAGTTTTCTGGTGCCCAGCCTGAGCAAGAGAGACTTTTTTTTTTGCCAGTCCTGAAGCTTGCTTGAACTCAGGGCCGGAGGCACTACCCTTGAGTTTCTTTTGTTCAAGCCTAGCACTCTACCACTTGAGCCACAGTGCCACTTCTGGCCTTTTCTGTTTATGTGGTACTGAGGAATTGAACACAGGGCTTCATGCATGCTAGGCAAGCACTATACCACATATAGCACTGAACCACTAAGCCACATTCCCAGCCCTCCAAGAGACTCTGATCTCCAGTGAATCATCAGGAAACCAGAAGTGGAGCTGTGGCTCAAAGTGGTAACATGCTAGCCTTGAGCAAAAGAGCTCAGGGATGTGAGTTAAAGCAAAAACAAAAACAAAAGCAAATAAATCTCAATCTATTGACAGCAAATCAAATCCCCATTCTCCTACTCGCTGTGACCTTGAGCACATCCTCTCTGTCTCCTGGCCTGTACAGAAAGTAGCTTTTCCTGCCTCACCTAACAAGGCTGATCTTCCTTCAGCCATACAGCGGTGTTCTGAGAGGCACAGTGACCGTCTTTGTGAACATTCTTCTCTCATTTTGTTTCTGGCAGTTTCCTTATGCTGCCCCACCTCCCCAAGAACCAGTGAAGACTCTGAGAAGCTTGATCAACATCCGAAAGGACACACTACGACTTGTCAAGTAAGTGCCCTAGGGCCTATTCCCAGCTGCCCTCCTTTTGGGATAGTGGACTTCTCATGAGACTCCTCAGCCCGACCTAGAGCCTCTGCCTTAGGCCTTAATGCCAGCTGGTAGGTCCCTGCTGGAGCCCTGTATCTGCACAAATGAGGCCTCTGAACTGGCTTGGGAGGGAAGGAAGGCCTTTCACTTGCCTAGAGCTGATAAATACTATTCCTGCTTTGAGGGAAAAGAGGAATTTTGTAGACACCCCATTATATTATATATTTCATTATAATAATGAGCTGTTCGAATTTGAAATATAAGATCCTTATGTTACCATTTATTTATGCAGGCACTGGGGCTTGAACTCAGCCTGGGTCACATGTCTACTTCTGGCTTTTTATTGTTGTTCTTGGTTGTAGGGCTTGAACTCAGGGCCTAGGCACTGTCCTTGAGTTCCTTTGCTCAAGGCTAGCACTCTATTGCTTTGAGCCGCAACTCAAATTCAAGGGTTTTTTTTGAGGGGTTAATTGGAGTCTCATGGGGACTTTTCTGTTCTGCCTGGGCTGGCTTTGAACCTTGATCCTCGGATCTCAGCTCCCTGAGTGGCTAGGATTATATTCATGAGCTAATAGCGCCCAGCTCGCGTCTAGCTTTTTGCTAGTTAATTAGAGATAAGAGTCTCACAGATTTGTCTGCCTGGGCTGGCTTTGAATCATTATCTTCAGTCTTGTAAGTAGCTAGAATTACAGGTGTCAGCCACTGGTGCCCAGCTTTACTGCTTATATATATATATATATATATATATATATATATATATTTTTTTTTTTTTTTTTTAATTTTTATTTTTTTTAAATTTTTTGGTTAGTCATGAGCCTGGCCCTGAGCTCTTTGCTCAAGGCTAACACTCTATCACTTTGAGACCTAGGGCTACTTCCAGGTTTCTGGTGGTTAATTGGAGATAAAGAGTCTCGTGGCCTTTCCTACCTGGGCTGGCTTTGAACAACAGTCCTCAGATCTCAGCCTCCGAAGTAGCTAGGATTACAGGGATGAGCCACTGGTGCCCGGTCACACCTTGCTTTTTTGAGAAGAAGTACTGGGGCTTGAACTCGGGAGCTTGCACTCGCTAGGTGTAGTCACTCTACTCCTTGAGCCATGCCCCAGCTCTGAGAAGCTAGGAGGGGCAGGGATCATGAGTGCTTATGGGATGGAGGCAAAGGGGGCTCAGAACGATTGTGAGAGAGTGTAGGGTAGTTGCTGTGCCCACATTCAGACAAGAGCCAAGAGGACGCCAAGATGATGAGCTGACAAGGCATGATGGCTCACAGCTACAATCTCAGGACTTGGGAGGCAGATTGGAAGATAGAGGGTTAGAGACCAGCCTGGTCTATGCAGTGAGAACCTATGCCAAAAAAAAAGAAGAAAACCAGCCACTGGTGACCCATGTTAGTAGTCCTAGCTACTCAGGAAGCTGAGATCTGAGGATTTTGGTTCAAAGCCAGCTTGGGCAGGAAAGTCAATGAGGCTCTTAGCTCCACTTTACCACTAGAAAACCAAAAGTGGAGATGTGGTTCAAAGTGTTAGAGCATTAGCTTTGAGCAAAAAAAAAAAAAAATCTCAGGGTCCTACAGAGAGTTTGGGTTGGAATTAGGGTAGTGTGTAAGAGACCAGCAACTGAAAGGGACAAGATGAGCACCAAGTTCAGGACAGTATCAGGTGACTCTGGCTAACCTGAAGGACGTGCAGACGCTGAAGTGATTGCTGGTTTATTGCGAGAGCCCTATATTGTGGGGATGGGGATGGCGGAGCTCCTCCATGGCACACATGAAGGTAGAGACCAAGACCTCATTTCTACATGAGGCAGCCAATAGATAATGCCGAAAACTGAAAATCAAGAACCATTGAACCTGGCATGCTGTTTAGAAACGTGGTTAAATGCGAAATGCTCAGCCAGAACAGATCTCCTCTGAAGAAGTAGAAAGGGAAAGAAGAAGGCCTGCTGTTTTGTTTTGTGTGTGTGTGTGTGTGTGTGTGTGTGTGTTTTAACAAGTATGTTGGAAACTATTTAAACTATGTGACTAATAACCTTGATTAAATAAAAAAATTAATCCAGGCTGGATGCAGTGTTCTTGCCTATAATCCCAGCCATATCAGGAGATGGAAATCAGGAGGATCACAATTTGAGGCCAGCCTGGACAAAAAAGAAAAAAAAAAAAGCAAGGTTCCATCTCAACCAAGAAGCTGGGTAGTGGTAGGAGTATGTCTATAAATCAAGCTATTAGCTAAAACATAGGTAGAAGGGTCACAATCTGAGATTAACCTCAGACAAAATGAACTCTTTGTGAAAAAGAGTTGAAGATATGGCTCAAAGGGACCTAAGCAAGCATAAAGCCCCAAATTCAAACCCTAGTACTTAAAAAATAATCTAGCATAGGTGTAACTAATAACATAATAACACTTGAACTCAGAGGCTGGGTACTGTCCCTGAGCTCTTTTGCTCAAGGCTAGTGTTCTACCACTTTGAGCCACAGCTGCACTTCTGGTTTTTTAAGTGGTTAATTGGACATAAGAAGTCTCACTGGGACTTTTCTGCCCTGGCTGACTTCGAACTACCATCCTGAGATCTTAACCTCCTGAGTGGCTAGGGTTACAGACATGAGTCACCAGCAACTGTCCCTGTGATCTTTCATAATAAAGATGTACATATATGTTAATGACCACAGAGAGAACCCCACGTGTTGTTTTAAAAAACAAGGTAAGTCTTAGTTCTGGTGTGCTGCCCCAGAATGCTGAGTCTTTTCTGGTTTTCTAGATGCGCTGAGGAAATCAAAAGCCCGGGAGAAGAGACTGGTAAAGCTAAGGTCCACTACAACGTCGAGTTTACCTTTGACACAGATGCTCGGGTGGCCATCACCATCTACTATCAAGCCACTGAGGAGTTCCAAAATGGTATCGCCAGGTAAGAACAGAGACTATACTTCCTTCCCAGATAGGAGGGGCCAGGCCGAGCTACTTACCCTTTGAGGGAAGCTTTTTTTTTCTTTTTTTCTGTTGTTCATGGGGCTTGAACTCTGGGCCTGGGCACTGTCCCTGAGCTTTTCAGCTCAAAGCTAGTGCTCTACCACTTGAGCCACAGCACCACTTCCAGTTTCCTGGTGGTCAATTGGAGATAAAAATCTCACAGACTTTCCTGCCCCTGCTGGCTTTGAACCATGATCCTCAGATCTCAGCCTCCTGAGTAGTAGGATTACAGGCGTGAGCCACCGGCCCCCAGCTTGGGAAACGTTTTTCTAATCAAGTGAGATCTCATTCTTGAATGTATACTTTCTTTTCCAAAAACGTTAACTTTTTTGCTTTCATTTGTGTCTTTGGTGGACAGTGACCTTAGATGCTGTTAAAAACCTGTTTAGCAGTTGGTTACCCATGGCTTATACCTATAACCCTAGTTACTTGGGAGGCTGAGAATGGGAAGATTGTGGTTCAAGGCCTGCTTAGGCAGGAAAGTCTGAGAGAGCCCTCAACAGGCAGCTGGGCATGGTGGTACATGCCTATCATCCTGAATTCTGTGGGAGACTGAGATTGGGTGGAACCTGGTTCCAGACTATCCTAGGCAGAAAAGAGTTCACAAGACCCCATTTCCACGGGCCTGATGTTGTATGCCTGTCATCTCAGCTTTGACTGGGAGCCTAAAACTGGCAGATTATCATAGTCCAGGCATACACTGGGCAGGAATCAAGATCCTCTTGAAAGTAGCTAGCACAAGCCAGGTGCTGGTGGCTTATGCCTATAATCGTAGTAGCTACTCAAGAGGTTGAGATCTGAGGATCATGGTTCAAAGCCAACCTTGGCAGGAAAATCCTGAGACTCATAACTACCAGAAAACCAGAAGTGGCACTGTGGCTCAAGTTGTAGAGCACTCGCCTTGAGCTGAAGAGTTCAGGCTCAGCACCCAGGCCCAGAGATTAAGTCTCCCCACTGCCCCCCACCCTCCACCCCCAAAAATAGCCCTCACAGAAAAGGGCTGGAGGGTCTGGGAAGGTGGCTCAGTGCTTGCATTGCATGCATGAGGCCCTGGGTTTGATTCCTCAGCACCACATAACTAGAAAAAAGCCTCAAGTGGTGCTGTGGCTTAAGTGATAGAGCGCTAGTCTTGAGCTGAAATGCTGAGGGACAGTGCCCGGGCCCAGAGTTCAGGTCACACAACCAACAAAAAAAGGGGGGGCGGGGCTAGAAAGCCTGGCACTGGTGGCTCACGCCTGTAATCCTAGCTACTCAGGAGGCTGAGTAGTTCAAAGCCAGCGGTTCAAAGCCAGCTGGGACAGGAAAGTGTGAGATTCTTATCTCTAATTGACCACCAGAAAACAGGAAGTGGCGCTGTGGCTCAAGTGGTAGAGTGCTAGTCTTGAGCTGAAGAGCTGAGTGACAGCACCCAGGCCCAGAGTTTGATCAAGCCCTAGGACTGACCAAAAACAAAGGGCTGGACTCATGGCTCAGCAGTTGAGTGCAGCAAGCACAAGTCATGACATCAAACCCCAATACTTTAAAACAAAAAGGAAAACAACAACAACAAAACTACTTAGCTACCTATCTGTAGGCCTTTTATTTTTATTTTTTCCTGTGCTTGAGCCTGTTGGAATTGAGAAACAGACATGAGATTGAGGGGACTGTCGGACTGTCTGGTTTAGATTCTAACTTTAGTTCTGCTTCCCACTTGATGTACAGCTACATTCCAAAAGACAACAGCCTGCAATCGGAGACTGTGCACTACAAGCGAGGGGTGTGCCAGCAGTTCTGCCTGCCCTCTCACACCGTGGACCCCTCGGAGTGGGCCGAAGAGGAGGTGAGTGGCCTTTGCTGGAGATGGCCAGCACCCAGGAGCTTCCTGGAACCCAGGCCAGCAGCAGAGGCTCTGCCTGGACACTTAGGACCATGTTCACCTTTATACCCAGTGACTTCTTCATTCCCCTAAAGGAAACACCTGTCCTTGTTCCTCCCATGCCGATGTAGCCTCGTTACCTAGGCCTCTCTGAGAAGAGGAACTGAAGGTTAGAGGCTTTAACTGGGGGCCTTCAGTTCAACAGTCTTGGGGAGGTTGATGAATATGGCACAATAGACGCGGGTAACATTTCCTGCCAGTGCCTTCATTTTTGGTGGGTGTTTCAGCCATCTACATGTGTTGTGTCCTGTTTTGTTCTCTTCCCCCCTGCAGCTCAGCTTTGATCTGGACCGAGAGGTTTACCCTCTGGTGGTGCACGCTGTGGTGGATGAAGGCGACGGTAGGGGTGTCTCCGTCTTCCTTTGGGTGTGTGCTGCCCTGATGGGGCACAGTCCTGCAGAAGCTGTGGCCAGAATAACACACCTTCTCTAGGGGGGTCTTAGCCCGTCCTATCTGAGTCCAGCTCCTTGGGCTACAACGGGGAAGTGCTGGGCCTACAACAGGCCCCAGCTGGAGATAGCCCAGCACCGTGGCTTTGTGTGTGTGTGGGAATATGCCAGTACTGGGGCTTGAACTCAGGTCCTCTCACTCTTCCTTAGCTTTATCATTCAGTTCTGGTGCTCTGCCACTTGAGCCACAGCTCCATTTCCAGTACCGTGGCTCTACAGACTGTGGGAAGTGGAAGGTGGGCATCAGAGGTGCAGTTGGCCTTCTTTACCTGTGTGCCTGTTTCTTTCAGAATATTTCGGCCATTGCCATGTATTGCTGGGTACGTTTGAAAAGGTAAATTATCACTTCAACATATATTTAATGCTTTCTTTTTTTAATTTTGTAAAATTATCTTCAAGTAGTTATGCAAAGGAATTGCCATTTCACAAAACAGTTAATGGATGCCGTATATTTTGGTCCATGTCACCTTTCAACATTCTCACCCATTTACATTTAACACTTTCTTTTTGTTTGTTTGTTTGTTTGTCGGTTGTGGGGCTTGAACTCAGGTACTGCCCCTAAGCTTTTGTTTTTTGTTTTTTGTTTTTTCTGGTCCTTGGGCTTGAACTCTGGGCCTGGGCACTGTCCCTGAGCCTCTTTGTGCTCATAGCTAGCACTCTACCAGTTGAGCCACAGCGCTACTTCTGGCTTTTTCTGAATAGTTTACTGGAGATAAGAAAATTGTGTGGGGGCTGGGAAGGTGGCTCAGTGGTAGAGCGCTTGCCTTGCATGCATGAGGCCCTGGGTTCAATTCCTCAGCACCACATAAGCAGGAAAAAAAAAAGCCAGAAGTGGTGCTGTGGCTCAAGTGGTAGAGTGCTAGCCTTGAGCTGAAGAGCTGAGAGACAGTGCCCAGGCCCAGAGTTCAGGCCCCACGACTGGACCCAAAAAAAAAAAAAAGAAAATCTCATGGATTTTTCTGCTTGAGCTGGCTTTGAACTGTGATCCTCAGATCTTAGCCTCCTGAGTAGCTAGGATTACAGGTGTGAACCACCAGCGCCTGGCCAACATTTAACACTTTCTTTCCCTGTTTTCAGGCTCGCCTGAGCTCAGAATAGTTAGGCTTGGGGAGGTATTAAACAGGTGTTAGAATGCAGCTGGCTCTGACAAATTTTCAATGCTGCATGACCTTTGACCCCTCAAGCCTAGCCTCAGCCTCATCCTAAAATTACCAGTTAGATGTGATCACTGCAAGACCTTCATAGTCATTAGATTTTGCAATTCCATTTTGTGTAGGCCCAAGAACATGTAACGCTATAGAACAGCCACAGGTGTGAGGTGCGGTAAGCTTTCTGCTTTGGTTGTAACCATCGTATTTTCATTCCAGCACACAGATGGGACTTTCTGTGTCAAGCCCCTCAAACAGAAGCAGGTGGTAAGTATCTGAGGGCCAGGGGCTACTGGATCTCTTTCTTTCTCTCTCTCTAACTCTTTTGCTAAATATTCTTTTTCCCTCTCTTCTTTCTTTTGTGTAATCAAGGGAAAAAAGTAAAAAGGAGCACTTTTGTGTGCTAGAAACCACTTGGGTGGCCTGGAAGGAACGCTGACGGTGGGTCTCTAAGGCTGGGGAATTGCTAGTGCTAAGGCCTCTCTATCTGCACAAGGACTCGAGAAATGAAAGGACAAGATTTATCTCTTGGCATTAGACTGGGAGACTTTTTTATTTCAAATGTCAGGGTGAGAAACACTTCAAGCAAAAGGTCTAAAGTATCGGGGTGCAATTCAGAGACTATATTAGCGCCCTTGGCTTCATTTATTCCCCCATTCCTTTCCCACAATTCGGTTTGCAGACCTTTGGCCCTTCCAGCACAACAAGCAAGGTCTGAATATGTCAGCTAGAAGGCTGAGCCCACACCATGAGCCACACTTTGCTTTGCCCTCCTCCATAGGTGGGAGGATCCTCCGTGGAGGGTGAGGGGCAGTGCTGCCCTGGCACTGGTTATAGCCTGGTGGAGAGGTGAATCATCACAGTCGCCACGAGGAGGTGGGAGCAGGTGGGAAGGGCAGGGCTGACACAAGAGAGACACAAGAGAGGCCTTGCTTCAGATGAGTGATAGGCGTCCGATTCTACATGAGTACATTCTTCTGTTTTAGGTACTTGCCCCTCAGTTAATGAGGCCAATAGTAGCCAATAATACTTTTGTATAAATTAGTTGATAAGGTCACGTCCTTTTCCGCATAGTTATTATGTTGAAACAAATTTTAGAACAAAGCAGGGAGGCTAGGTACCAGATGGCTCATACCTGTTACTAGCTATACAGGAGGCTGAGATCTGAGGATTGCAGTTTAAAGCTAGCCTGGGTGGGGTAGTGCATGAGGCTTTTCAATTAACTAGCAAAAAAGTCACAGCAAAGCTGTGGCTCAAGTGGTAGAATGCCAGCCTTGAGTGAAAGAAAGCTAAGCGACAAAAGCCACACACACACACACACACACACACACACACACACTCAGAGAGACCATAGCTCCTGAGCCCAAGGTGCTGTCTAGGCAGTCCAGCCTTGAGTACTTACAGGGAAGGCTTAGTTAGCCAAGAGGGAAGCATAGCTTGAAGGAAATAGTCTATTTTCCTCTTGTTGGATTTGCATTAGTAATAAACCATCCCACTGGAGAGGAAGCTGTCAACTCCAAGATAATGGGGTGTCTGAAAGCAGAGATGAGGAAATAGGAGAAGTAGACTTCTGGAGGGAAATAAAGGGAGAGCCAGCTTTGGCACCAACATGACCTTAGGATCCGACGTTGACAGCTGAAGTGTGTGGTGCTATTAGATAGTCCCTGCTACTCAGAAGTCTGAGACCAGCATAGGCAACATGTCTCCAAAAAAACAAGCCGGGCATGGTATACAGACTCGTAAGTACTCAAAAGGTAGAGGAAGGAGTTTGGGAAGTTGAAGCTAGCCTAGGCTATACAGTGAGATCCTGTCTCAAAACAAGAACCAAGAAAAAGGGGCTGGGAAGGTGGCTCAGTGGGAGAGTGCTTGCCTCGCATGCATGAGATCCTGGGTTCGATTCCTCAGCATCACATAAGCAGAAAAAGCTGGAAGTGGCACTGTGGCTCCAGTGGTAGAGTGCTGGCCTTGAGCTGAAGAGCTGAGGGACAGCGCCCAGGTCCAGAGTTCAGGCCCCACAACCAACCAAAAAAAAAAAAAGACAGAAAGAAAGAAAGGACAAAGAAAAAGAAAAACAAAAAAAGTAACCAGGCCAAGAGTTAGACATGTTAGACAAAGGATGTTCCACTTGGATTCCTTGGCCATCTATGTTTTTCTCTCTGCCTCTTTCTCCCTGCACATTTCTTCTTCTTTCTCTTCTCTATACTTTTGTCCTTATTATGTCTGAAGTGAAATTTTCTTACATAGTGTTTCTTTTTTTCCCTGTTGGTTGTGGGGCTTGAACTCCGCCTGGGGTCTGTCCCTGAGCTTTTTCACTCAAGGCTAGCACTCTGCAACTTTGAGCCACAGCACACTTCTGGCTTTCTAGTTGTTAATTGGAGATGAGTCTTATGGAAACGGGGAGCCAGTGGCTCACGCCTGTATTCCTAGCTACTCAGGAGGCTGAGATCTGAGGATCACGGTTCAAAGCCAGCCCAGGCAGGAAAGTCCATGAGACTCTTATCTCTGATAAACCACTAGAAAACCAGAAGTGTCACTGTGGCTCAAGCGGTAGAGTGCTTGCCTTGAACTGAAGAGCGCAGGGACAGCACTCAGGCCCAGAGTTCAAGCCCCAGGACCGACCCAAAAAAAAAAAAAAAGAGTCTCATGGACTTTCCTGCCCAGAATGGCTTCAAACCATGATCCTCAGATCTCAGCCTCCTGAGATTGCAGGCGTGAGCCACCAGCACCAGCTGTATTTATTTCCCTTTTGATACATACTCTTCTGTCCTCTTTCTGATTTATGCCTTTCCTAACCATTCATAAAAGGGAGCCACCACACAAGTCTTAACCATCTGGTTTGTGGAATGTCATGTTCCCTGCCAGATGTTCAGTGGGTAAATTAAGATGTGATTCTTCACTGTGAACCCATCATCCTGAGCTCAGCGGCGGCTGGTGGGGGCTCCTCTACGGTCTCCTTCAGCTTCTCTGTTGGCCCTTCAGGTAGACGGGGTCAGCTACCTCCTTCAGGAGATCTACGGAATAGAAAACAAGTACAACACACAGGATTCTAAGGCAAGTTTGGTTCAAAGTTTTGTTGTATACTCTGTGGGGCTAGGGCTGAGGAGCCTGGTGAGCCAGGTCTAGAGCTGTTGGAAAGCATTCAGCTCATCTGATTTCTGTCTGTGGAAATGAAGTAGGCTACTCAGGACTTGTTCTTCTGTACTAGGCTCTGTTGAACTCCATTTGCCAGGAGGAAATGGAGTTCACTCCCCATTTGCCCTGATCTGTGTGGGCTACTAGGTTCCTTCAGCTCAGATGATCAGAGGAATGCCAGAGTTGGACCTCTGAGGCTGAGCTCAGAGCTGCCCTCCCCTCCAAGCTCCCTAACCCCCACCTCTGTCCTGCAGATGAGCTGTTCTCAGAGGCAGCGAGACTGTGCACCATAAAGTACTGGCCTAGGTTTTGTTCCTAGTCCTTGTCTCTGCTCTTCAACTAGCTGCTTTGTAAATAAAGTACAGGACATCAAGGCTTTATGTCATTGCCTATTATTACTGTCTCCCTGGCAGGTGGCCGAGGATGAAGTGAGCGACAACAGTGCCGAGTGTGTGGTGTGTCTCTCGGATGTCCGGGACACCTTGATCCTGCCCTGCCGCCACCTCTGCTTGTGTAACACCTGTGCGGACACCCTGCGCTACCAGGCCAATAACTGCCCCATCTGCCGGCTCCGTAAGCCCTAGGTGGTGGAGGGAAGGCAGGGAACCCAAGAATGGCATTACCCTGATTGCTATAGGGAGGGAGCAAGGTTCACCTTAATCCTGTAGCAGGATGTCCTGATTGCCTGTTTTCTTCTTCACAGCCTTCCGGGCACTGCTTCAGATCCGAGCCATGAGGAAAAAACTGGGCCCCTTGTCCCCAACCAGCTTTAATCCCATCATCTCCTCTCAGACATCTGACTCTGAGGAACACTCGGTGAGTTGGGCACAGAACCATGGGATTGGGATTCGAGCGCTAAGGCTTTCATGGAGTTTAACTCTTTTTTTTTTCTTTTTAAAGCTTTTACCTTTTGTCCCTTTTTTTTTTTTTTTTTTGGTCTTTAGACAGGGTCTCACCATGTAGCCCAAGCTGGCCTCACACTTGCTGGCTTTGACCTTCTTTACCCGGCTTTACAGCATGAAATTGAACCTGGCCAGGCTAATAGATTTGCTAGACTAAGCTCATGGTCTATTAATATTACTCAGGCATCCTGTCCAATGAATACTTACATTCCTAAAAACAATTTGCTGTGGTTCACTACATTGGGGCCCACCTCTAGAGTTCCCCAAGCAGAAACAGGGATGATTGCATTTTTGGTTTTGTTTTGGGGTTTTTTTTGGTGTTCATGGGGCTTGAACCCTGGGCCTGAATATTGTCCCTCAGCTTTTCAGCTCAAGGCAAGCACTCTACCACTTGAGTCACAACACCACTTCTGGTTTTCTGGTGGTTAATTGGAGATAAGAATCTCACGGACTTTCCTTCCTAAGCTGGCTTTGAACCCAGATCCTCAGATCGCAGCCTCCTGAGTAACTAGGATGACTGGCGTGAGCCACTGGCACCCAGTGGATGATTGTTTTTATTTGAATAAAATTGTACTACCTTTATTTGAATCCTTGAGGAAGTTGACTTTTTTTGGTACTATTTTGGGTTTATTTTATTTTCATTATCTATGTTATATAAAAGGGTTTCAATTCAACCCATCAGGAAGATAACTTTTTCTCTGTCCCAGTTCATGGTTTCGGTGACTGGGAGTCAAGTGGACAGTAACTGACCCCATGCAACCATATAAGAACAATGCTGGGATCAAGTGCCTCACAGCTGTAGGGCAGCGGCTGTGGGCTGGGATAAACTCAGGTAGAGTGCTGGCCCTGGTACGCCTGAGGTCCTTGGTTCCATCCCCAGCACTGGAAAAAGAAGACATCATGTTTTTTCTTACGTCAACCCACTGATGGGAGAGATTTACTGTGCAGTGAATGGTATTGGTATAATTCGTTTACTGTTCAGAGAGGAAAAATCAGTGTAGCACTTTAATTCTTATCAGATAACAAATTGCAGATAATTGTTAGCTTTGTTAAAAGTGCAAATGCTGCATTAAAAATCTTAAATAAATTAAACATGACTATTTGGATAGAGAAAGATTCCTTTAAGTTCTCAGCAATAGAAAACTACAAAGAAAAAAAAAATCTAAATCTACTCAAAACTTCAGAGTTAAGCCAGGTGCTGGTGGCTCACTTGTGTAATCCTAGCTACCCAGGAGGCTGAGAACTGAGCATCATGGTTCAAAGCCAGCCTGGGCAGGAAAAGTCCATGAGACCCTTATCTCCAATAAACCACTCAGAAAAACAGAAGTGGCACTGTGGCTCAAGTGGTAGAGCGCTAGCCTTGAGCTAAAGAGCTGAGGGACAGTACCCAGGTCCAGAGTTAAAGCCCCGAAACCAACCCCCCTCCAAAAAAAGTCAAAATATTGGCAGCTTTTATATCAGAAGAAAGCCTAATAAAGCAGTAGATAAGTTAGCAAAAGGATATTAACAAAAATTATCATCTCTGGATACTCATGGCTCCTACCTGTAAGCCCTAGCTACAGAAGCTGAAATCTAAGGATCACAATTTGAAGTCAACCCATCTGGAAAGTCAGTGAGACTCTTATCTTCAATTAACCACCGAAAAGCCAGAAGTAGAGCTGTAATTGCTCAAGTGGTAGAGCACCAACCTTGGGCAAAAAAGCTCAGGGACAGTACTCAGTCCCTGAGTTCAAGCCCCAGGACTGGTACCAAATGAAAAAAGAAGGAAAGAAAATCTGAAGAAGGTATTTTTGTTTTGTTTACAGTTCTAGGGGTTGAATTCTGGGCTTATATACATTCTGGCCAGTGAGCTTCACATCCAGCTAGGAAAGAGCTTCATAAACATATATAAGGAGGTTCATGGGAGCCAACAGTAAGACATGTCTGCCATAGCTCAATACCAGCACTGGTAGAGTAATTAGGAAACTTACAGTTGTCTATAAAAAAGGTTTCAGAAAGGTAAGCAAATATTGATGTTGGGTGAAATAAGATATAGAATTGTTTCTTCCTTTCTTTTCTTCTTTTTATTGTTTGTACTAGTACTGGGACTTGAACTAAGGTCCTGGGCACTGGCCCTTAATAGCTTTTTTTCCCCCTGCTCAAGGCTGGTGCTGTACCACTTGAGGCCCAGCTCCACTTGTGGTTTTTTGCTAGTTAATTGGAGATCTGTCTCATAGACTTATCTGTCTAAACTGACTTTGAACCTCAATCCTGAGATCTCAGCCTCCTGAGTCGGTAGGATGAAAAGCATGAGTCACAGGTGCCTAACTAGAATTGTTGTTTTTTAGTTGATTGATTTTTTGTTATTATAGAGGTGATGTACAGAGGGATTACATTTACATGAGTCAGGTAATAAGTACATTTTCTTTCATACGGTGTCTTCTATTCCCTCATTTTCTCCCAGCCCCTCCCCCGCATCTCCACGCATGAATTGTATAGTTCACTTTTATCCATGTCCTGTGAGCTCCACCGCTGCACTTTTGTGCTCTTCTTCCTTCAAGTCCTGTACGCTCCCCACAACCCTTCCAGAGCTGTACTCTGAATGTACTGCACATAGGTAAAGAAGACAGAATCATCAAAAAATAAAAACTAAAGGAAAAAGAAAGAAAGGGAAAGGGGGTAAAAAGTCTCTTGTTTCTGTATCATAGAGTTCACTTCAGTATGTGTATTATTTTATAGAATTATGAAGAGTCACTTAGGCATTGTGCCTTGTGTTTCTTTCCTAAGAATATCCTCTTTTGGTCTCACTCTCTGTGAGCTTCTAGAATCCTGTATAATTTATCATAGTCCAGTGCATTTTAGATCTAATTTCCACATATCAGAACATGCATCCTTGGTCTCTCTGAGCTTGGCTTAACTCCTTAACGTGATTTGTTCTGGTTCCATCAGTTTCCCTGCAAATGATATTTATTATTATATATTTGTATTTATTCTATTTTATTCTTTTTCTTTTCTTTTTTTCTTTTTCTTTTTCTTTTTCTTTTTTTTTTTGTCAGTCATGGGGACTGAACTGCGCTGGGGCGCTGTCCCTGAGCTCTTCAGCTCAAGGCTAGCGCTCTACCACTTGAGCCACAGTGCCACTTCCAGCTTTTTCTGCTTATGTGGTGCTGAGGAATTGATCCCAGGGCCTCAGGCATGCAAAGCAAGCACTCTACCACTGAGCCACCTTCCCAGCCCCCTATTCTATTTTATTCTTTCCACAGTTTTTGGATTCCCTCATCTATTGTAGGGAATCTGGGCTGTTTCTATATCTTGGCTAATGTAAATAAACATGGATATATGAGTGTCCTTATATCCTGGCTCTTGATGTTCAGGGTAGATGCCCAGGAACATATGGCTGGGTCGTAGGAAAGGTCTGTGTTTGGTAGGGGGGAGAGGGTAGTTTGTTTTTAATTTTTGTTGGTCGTGAGGCTTGAATACTGGGCCTGGCACTGTCTCTTTGCTCTTCAGCTCAAGGCTACTGCTCTACCACTTAATCTACAGTGCCACTTCCATTTTTTTCTGCTTATGTGGTGCTGAGGAATTGAACCCAGGGCTTCATGCATGCTAGGCAAGCACTGTCCCACTGAGCCACCTTCCCAGTCTGATTTTTTTGGTGCCAGTACCAAGCTATTTTTGTTATGATGGCTCTGTAATAGAGTTTGAGGTCTTTGATACCACTTGTATTGCTTTTTGGGTTTTTTTTGACCATCATGGGTCTTGAACTCTGGGCCTGGGCGCTTTCCCTGCGCTCTTCAGCTCAAGGTGAGTGCTCTACTGCTTGAGCCACAGCACCACTTCCGGTTTTCTAGTGGTTTATTGGAGATAGTCTCACGGAGTTTTCTGCCCGGGCTGGCTTTGAACTGTGATCCTCAGATCTCAGCCTCCTGAGTAGCTAGGATTACAGGCTTGAGCCACCGATGCCCAGCGTTTCTGTATCTATTGAAAGATGATCTGTGGTTATTGTTTTTGGCTCTGTTGATGTAGTGAATTACATTTATTGATTTGTGTTTGTGTTAAACCAGCCTTGCATTTTTTTTTTTTTTTACAGATTGAGCATTAATGTGTAAATTGTACAAAGAAAATAGTTGGAAGAAATTGTACTAGAATACTAACAAAAGTTACTTTGGTCTAAGCACCGGTGGCTCATGCGGACAATCCTAGCTACTTAGGAGGCTATGATCTGGAGGATCATGGTTTGAAGCCATCCTGGGCAGGAAAGTCTGTGAGACTCTTATCTCCAATTAACCACAAAAAGTGGGAAATGGAACCTTAGCTCAAGTGGTAAAGCATCAGCCTTGAGCACAATAGCTCAAGCCTCAGCACCAAAAAAATAAAAAATAAAAAAAAGTTTCTTTGGATAACTCATTATTGGAATTTTTTCCTTCTATTTTGATGTTTTCCAAATGTCCTTAGTGCTTATTTATGTCTATTATTATAAGAAAAAGTAGCTATTGTGAAGAATGAGCTAGGAGCCTGGTTCTTTGACTTTTTATGTTTCCTTTACATCTGACACAGAAACTTTTCTTACCAGATGTGAAGAAAACCCAGCAGATGTAAAGAAAACAAATTTTAGCTATAGTAAGAAACATGAAACCAGGAACTGGTCGCTCATGCCCATAATCCTGGCTGCTCAGGAGGCTGAGATCTGAGGACCACAGTTCGAAGCCAGCCCGGGCAGAAAAGTCTGTGAGACTCTTATCTCCAATTAACCACCAGAAAACCAGAAGTGGAGCTGTGGCTCAAAGTGGTACAGTGCTAGCCTTGAACAGAAAAGCTCCAGGACAGCGCCCAGACTCTGAGTTCAAGTCCTACAACCCACAGAAAAGAAAAAAAATGAAAGAAACGTGATGGTGCCCCCCAAAACAATAAGCACTTAAGTAATTTTTCAACTTGTCTCTGGTCCCCTAGTCCTCAGAGAACATTCCACCAGGTTATGAAGTGGTGTCTCTTCTGGAAGCCCTCAACGGGCCTCTCACCCCGTCCCCAGCGGTTCCTCCACTGCATGTGCTTGGAGACGGCCACCTCTCAGGAATGCTGCCTTCGTACGGCAGTGACAGCCACCTGCCCCCCGTCAGGACACTGTCCCCCCTTGACCGCCTGTCTGACTGCAGCAGCCAAGGACTCAAGCTCAAAAAGAGTCTCTCCAAGTGAGTAGCCAGCACGTGTGCCTCTCTGGGCCATATTCCAAACCGTCCTGTCCCTTCCCCGCATGCTGTCATATCCTGGGCCCAGGGCTGCTTCACCACACCCCTGAGGGGTCCCCTCGGGAAAGGTCAGCCATCCCTAGGAGATGAAACAAATTGTCTGGAGAATTCCCCTTAGATGAGCCTGCCACTTGTTCATTTGAGAGGGAGCCAGGGGCACAGGGCAGAAGACATTGAACCAATGAGGAGACAGGACCACTCAGGCCCCTGGGGAGCATGGCTTACTCTGAAGATGGAAAGATCTAGCTGGAAGCATGGCTCAGTAGAGAACACTCGCCTAGCAAGTGCAAGACCCCGAGTTCAAACCCCAGTACCAGACTCTGAGACTGAAGGCACCTCATGACCCTAACTCCTAAACAGCTAAATCCAATGGGGGCATAATCACCACAGCGTCTACCACAGAGGGTCTTGCACATGGAAGTATTGAGACCCTAGCAATATTGGTCATTTTTTCCCCTAAGATCAGGCAGCATTTCCTTAAAGGAGCAAGAAGCAGAAGGGGTCTCTGTCTCCCCTGTCCCCGCTCTCCACACCTCTCCCCTCACCCTGGGGGCCTGGTGTTGGCTGGCTCCCCTGGTGTCATCTTCCCATGCCGTCTGCAGGAGAGGAGTGCGGGCCAGCTCCCAGCTCTGCGTGGACAGTGGGCGCAACTGCTTTTCCCTCTGGACTTTTACAGATCTGTTTCCCAGAATTCTTCCGTGCTTCACGAAGAGGAAGACGAGCACTCCTGCAGCGAGTCAGAGACCCAGCTATCTCAGAGACCCGAGGTTCAGCATCCCGGGGAGGTGACTGGTTCTCTTTTCCCTCCCTGGGTGCTGGTGCCAGGCACTGCCATGCCCCACCCCCGCCAGCTCCTCATGTCCACCTATTTCATGTGTTTACTAAACCCTCAGCCCCTCCCAGGCGGTGGCCACAAAGTGTCATGAGAGTCACGTGCTCCTCAGTGTGCAGAGCCTGGTCACTGTGGCCTTGTCCTGTCCTGCAAGCAGAGATGGAAGCCATGAGGAGAGCACCAAAGGCCCTGGCCTCCTGGTGCTTCCATCCCTGCAAGGGGGGTGGAGCTTGACACAAGAGCGGGGTGAAAATGTGTGTGCCACGTGTGTGTGTGTGTGTGTGTGTGTGTGTGTGTGTGTGTGTGCAACGGGAGACAGGGGAGTAGACCCTGGAGGGAGGCCCGAAGTAGCACTGCTACTCAACCAGTGGCCCAGGAGCAGGGAGCAGCAGAGCTGAGAGCTGAGAAGAGGGTTCTAGACGTGGGAAAGTAGAGGGCAAGCTACAGGGAGGCCACTGGGGTGCAGTGGCAGAGGACAAACTCCCTGTGGGTCTCTACAGGCTTTCTTTAGCCACCTGCTCTCAGTGGCACTGAGCTAGGGGTGGTGGCACATTTGTAGACAAAGTAACTTAGCCCTCAAAACCAAGGTCTATCTGGGACAGCGCTGCGCTGGCATGGCGTCATTCCCGAGCAAGTGCTTGTCAAATGATGATACTTTTTTTTTTCTTCTTCTTTTTTTTGTCAGTTGTGGAGTTTGAACTCTGGGCTTGGGTGAGCTCTTCAGCTCAAGGCAAGCGCTCTACCACTTGAGCCACAGCACCACTTCTAGTTTTCTAGTGGTTTATTGGAGATAAGAGTCTCATGAACTCTCCTGCCCAGGCTAGCTTTGAACAGTGATCCTCAGATCTGTCTCCAGAAAAGCTAGGATTACAGGCATAAGCCACCAGCGCCTGGCTTCTTGGTTTTGTGCCAGTCTTAGGGTTTGAACTCTGTGCCTGGGTGCTGTCCCTGAGCTCTTCAGCTCAAGGCAACTGCTCTACCACTTGAGACACAGCACCACTTCTGGTTTTCTAGTGGTTCATTGGAGATAAGAGTCCCACTTTCCTGCCTGTGCTGGCTTTGAACCCCACAATCCTCAGATCTCAGCCTCCTGAGTAGGTAGGATTACGGGCGTGAGCCACCAGCACCCAGCTCTGAGCTGCTTTTTTGCTTAAGGCTACAACTCTTCCACTTGAGCCACAGCTTTATTTCTAGCTTTTTCCATAGCTTCTTGGAGATAAAGTCTCACACACATACCTGCCCAGGCTGGCTTCAAACTGTCATCCTCAGATCTCAGCCTCCCAAATAGCTAGATTACAGGCGTGAACCACCAGCACCCAGCAAATTATGAATGAATCTTAACTATAGAAAGAGCCCTCAGCCAGGTATAGTGATGTATACCTGTAATCCCAGCACTGGGGAGACTGAGGCAGGAGAGAATCAAATTGTAGACCAGTCTGCAACAGTTACAGTGATGTGTCTCAAATAGAAAAATTGAGCCAGATTCTGGTGGCTCACACCTGTAATCCTAGCTACTCAGGTGGTTGAGATCTGAACATCTCAGTTCAAAGCTAGCCCCGGCAGAAAAGTCCATGAGACTCTTATCTGCAATTAATCACCAAAAAAAGTGAGAAAGATGGAGCTGTGGCTCAAGTGGTAGAGCTCTAGCCTTGAGCAAAAAAACTCAGAGACAGTGCCCAGGCCCTGAGTTCAAATCCCAGAGCCATCCTCCCCCCACCCCCCCCCCACACACATACACACACCATGGGGAGGGGGAGAATCTAAACACAGACCATTAAAGTATAGTAATAGAGATACACAAAATTTCATATCATTTTGTAGGGAAGATCGAAAGCAGCATTTGAGCTGAATCTTGGAACTCTTTAGACCTGAAAGAAAGGGGAAGAGCGGAAGTGGCGCTGTGAAGTGGTAGAATGCTTGCCTTGAGCTGAAGAGCCCAGGGACAGCCCCTAGGCCCTGAGTTCAAGCCCCACAACCAACCAAAAAGAAAAAAAGAAAAAGGAAGCTAGGGGAGAGAAGCAGCCAGGGAGGGCAGGAGCAAGCCAGGGTCCAGTGAGAATGCTGCTTCACCTGACTGATGCGCATGCGCTGACCTGGTCAGACAGGAGCTGGAGGAGCAGGAAAGTGGCTCCACAGGACTAGGCTTGAGCTGGCGAGGCTGTGTGCCGGCTGGCCGCCTGGCCGATGGGGTGGGGGAACAGGAGCAGAGGTGAGGTTTTTCCTTTCAGTTCGATGGGGCAGAAACTCACCAGACGTGCACATGCAGTGAGGCCCCTGCTGGCCTTCTTTTCTTCCTGGGGAAGCAGGGGGTGTCCCCATGTCACAGCTGCTGGGTGACCTGTGTCACCCGAGCTGCAGTCTTTGTGTGGCCCAGCAGATGCTGGCCCTCGGACAGGAGATGCTGACTGCCACTTCCACCTCCCCTGGGAGACATTCCCCAGGCCCAGGCTGGGGAGGTGCTGACAGGAGAGACGCCATGATACCTCTTCTCCTGTCTGTGAGGAGCCCTTGTCCCTCCATGTCCCCTTTCCTCCCCAGCCCCTGCGCTCACCCCCTTCCTCCCACAGGCTGAGGGTGTGCTTACTCTGTGTCCTGTTGTGTCCTCCATCCCCAGGAATGTGGTGTGACCCCAGAAAGCGAAAACCTCACCCTGTCTTCATCAGGGGCTATTGACCAGTCGTCTTGCACAGGGACTCCGCTCTCCTCCACCATTTCCTCCCCCGAAGGTACAGAGCGGGCCGGGAGGGGCTGCCCGTGCTCCCTCTGCTCTGTAGCCACCGCTGTCCTTCCTCCCGTGGGAGAAGCTAGCTGGGGAGGGAGGAGACTCAGGCCTGAACCCTGCAGCAGGACGGGTACCCCTGGTCCCTGAGCTGAGTTCAGAGCTCCAACTATAGAGGAGCAGGATCTTAGACTCTAAGGCCTGCGTGCTCTGCTCTGGTCAGCTTGACCAGGCTTCCTTCCTCTTCCTCCTCCACAGACCCCGCCAGCAGCAGCCTGGCCCAGTCGGTCATGTCCATGGCCTCCTCCCAGATCAGCACTGACACAGTCTCCTCCATGTCGGGCTCCTACATCGCGCCTGGCAACGAAGAGGAAGGAGAGGCTGTCCCCTCGCCGCAGGGTGCCAGCAGAGCCCCCTCAGAAGAAGATGAGGTAAGGGAAAGGCTCACGCGCTGCTCTGCTCTCTGTTTCACTTGTAGGCCCCAAGTAGCTTCATAAAGGGCCTTTCCAGAGTGGGGTGTTGAGGCTGCTCCCAGGGACCAGACTCCTGGCCGCTGCTGGCTTGGTGCAGATTGGGCTTGAGTTTGAGGCCATGCTTGACCCGAGAGCCCGTGGCAGCTGTGCGCTTAGCTTCTTTTCTCTCGCAGGGGACGCCGGCAGAGTCTCCAGATAGCAATTTCGCTGGCTTCCCGGCAGAGCAGGATGCAGAGGTAACCAGACAGCAGGCACGGCGCCTCTCCCACTGCAGGAGCCCCTGCCTTGGCTTGGGTGCCTTGGCTTGAGTGGGTAGGGGGATTTGAAGGCTTCCTAGTGATATATCTAGAAGGAGTTGGGGGGGGGGGTCCCAGTGAGCGCAGCCCCACCCTCTGGCCTGGACTCTATCCAGTGTCCATTGCTAGGGGACACTAGTTCCAGCATGAGCTATGGTGGACTGAGTTCAAGAGGAGCCTTCCCATGCCAGGCTCTACTTGAGCCTGGAGAATGTGCTGGCCTTGGTGACCTGAGTGGAATAGGGTGACTGGGTCACAAGTGTTCACTGGCACCAGGACGTGAACAAGACTGAGTGAAGAAGCTTCTGCCAGCCCCTATCCCAGCACCCCACCCAGGAGCCCCCAACCAGGGCAAGCAGGGCTACAGCTCAGCATGAGCACCACCACACACACTTTTCAGGCCTTAGTTTTCTGGAGCCAAATCCTCTCAGAGTATGCTTTGGGAGCCTAAGGCGTTTCCAAATGATTTATGATCTCACAATTTGATATATATATATATATTTTTTTTTTTTTTTTGTCAATCATGGGGCTTGAACTCTGGGCCTGGGTGCAGTCACTGAGCTCTTCAGCTCAAGGTTAGGGCTCTACCATTTGAGCCACAGCACCACTTCTGGTTTTCTGGTGGTTCATTGGAGATAAGAGTCTCATGGATGTTCCAGCCTGGGCTGGCTTTGAACTATGATCCTCAGATCTCAGCCTCCTGAGTAGCTAGGATGACAGGTGTGAGCCACTGGCACCTGGCTACAATTTGCTTTTTTTATTTAACAACATCTGTTTCCATCTCAGAGAAACAGGATCAACTAAGCTGCTAACAAGGTTACCCCTGACATACTATGAGCATATGCCTGCAGTGTGGCTGCTGCCTCGGCTCTCAGCTCCCCCTGACCCTCTTACCACGTTAGGTGGGAAGTGCACTATGGACAGAGACCTAGGAGCTAGGCATCGCCATATTGTCTTCAGCCAGTCATTCCGTGCCTCTGATTGCTGTAGACTCATAGGGCCTTCCTTTTGTCCTAGGGAAATGACGTCATAGAGGAAGAGGATGGATCTCCCATGCAAGAAGATGGTAAAAGACCCAGTCCTTTGTTCTCATGTTGATTCTTACCTGGGTATTCTCTAGGGGGCAAAGAAAGGGGAACCACTGTGACTGATGGCAGTGCTCAGCTGTGTGTCTGTTGGGGGAATGGTTGTCTTCTTGACGGTGAGTCAACACAAGTAAGATCTTAGTGGCCTTAGTGACCTTCCCAGCTCCTCCCAGGACTCAGTTCAGGGAGCCAGGGTAAGGATGCTGCCGAGGACACATGTGCAGTTTAAGACCCTGATGCTTCTTGGCCACTCCCACTGGCCTCCTGCTACAGCTGAGCCCAGGTAGCCTCCAGGAGCACCAGGCGGAGCAGCAGAAGCACAGTCTTCAGTGACATAGGCAGGAGTATTGGCAGCTTGTCTGGGCTTGCTTTACTGGGAGAAAGTAGGGTGTGTGATCTTAGAGGCAGCGGACACACAAAGGGCGCTCAGCCTAGTCAAGGACTGCAGGCTGTCCTGGGCCGCCTTACCGTGACCCAGGCCTCGATGTCTTCATTCGGAAGAGTTTGGCCCCCCAGGGCAATGAAAGAGGAGGCAGCCACAGCTCGGGGGCCGCCCTCCTCCTCTGCCCGGGGCACTGAGGGCACCGGAGTGCTGTGGCCTACATGCAGACACGCCAGCAGATGTCATCCTAGTTGCTTCTGCTTTAGCACTGGCCGTTGCTTTGGGGTGTTGGGGGTGTGCATGTGGACTGGTCAGCTCCTGCTAGGGGAGCCTGGAGGAGAGGCGTGCTGCCAGGCCGGCCCTCCCACTCCTGCACCCCTGCCAGGGCTTGAAGCTTCACCACCTCAGTGGATGATTTCAGGGCCCACGGCTCCAGATCATCCTGGGGGATGGCTCCCCCACAGAGTACTTGCTTCCAAGAAGTACGGGGCCAGCTTGTTTCCACCTGACCCTCACAGCCCACACAAAGTGGCTTCTCTCCTTTCACCAAGGAGAAAGGGGGAGCTCAAAAAAAAATCATTCCTACAACTTCCCTTCCCCTCCTACCTGCCTGCGGGTTTCCAGGCAGCTACTCAATAACTTCAGTCTCAGAAGACAGTAAAACAAGCTAGGGGTTGGTGGCTTACAATTGTAATCCTAGCCACTTGTGAGGCTGAGATCTGAGGATCACGGTTCAAAGCCAGCCCTGGCAGAAACTCCGTGAGACTCTTAGGTCCAATTAAGCACCAAAAAAACTTAGAAGCGGAGCTATAGCTCAAGCAGTAGAGCACTAGCTGTGGGCAAAAAAGCTCAGGGACAACACCTGGGCCCTGGCACCAAAAGACAGTGAAACATACGTTTGTGAATATGGTCATTCCAGTTTGATGTGTCAGATAGGGAAGTGAAGGTCTTTAGTTGTTGTTTGATGTGCGTATCAGTTTTCAGGGCCTTCTGGTCATAAACACATCTGGTCATAAAAACATCACGCTGGAGGCACAGGTACCATGAGGGTACCATGAACCGGGGCCAGCCACACACAGCCTTTGAGGCCCCGCCCAGCACAGCTTTCTCCATAGTGCTCCCCTCCCTCAGCACTCTGCAGTGGCCACCCTCCCAGTGAACGGTGGCGAGGAGAGGCCTGAGTAAGGAGCCGGTCAGGATGGCGCCAGGACTCGGACATGCCCACACAATTCGATTCCTTTTTTTTTTTTGTCTGCTCTTTACCCACTTAATTATTGTCTTTTTTTTTTTTAAACATATGATTTGATTTTTTTTTTGTCTCCATCCTTAAGATTTTTATTTTAAGGACAGCAAAGTAGAGGAAAAACCCAGCCAGCCCCTCTCTAACTGCATTAACTCCGTTTCAGGCCAGAGGACATGCGCATTTCTAGGTATGGAGTGTGACAATAACAATGACTTTGACATCGCAAGCGTGAAAGCACTGGACAATAAGCTGTGCTCTGAGGTCTGCTTACCTGGTGAGTGGCAGTCTACTGAACATGAACTTGGTGGGAGACACCCCTCTGCTCTTACCCCTGCTCTCCCCCTGGTACACCCATCTCCCGCCCTACCGTTCCTGCCAAGACGGCCTGGGGTGTGCTCAGGTGCTGGAGACCAGTTCGCTGAGATGCAAGTGAGGAGGCCTCAGGACAGTCCTTGAGCTTTTTACAAAGAGCAAGTCCTGCTCTGAGAATAATGGGGTAGGAAGAAAAGGGCAAAAATTCGTCTCCTTGCAATTTGGCCGCCTCCTTGCAATTTGGCCGGACCGTATGCCCTCCGTCGCCATCCTGCAGATGCCGTGTCAGGTGGCCTATCTTGTTTTCATCAGCAGGAAGTTTGAGCAGACAAGCACCTCCCCCCATTCTCCCATCCTCCCCTCCCCACCCCAAGTCTTGGAACCATAGCCTGAGCCCATTAACAGTGAAACCATACTCCTCAGAGGATGTGTGCTTAGTGAGTATCAGAAAGGAATTTGAAAGGCAGCATTTTATAGGCCAGCGAATGGCTTTGTGAGCCAGTGAGCTTCAGGTTGCCAGATGCATTGCACATAATAGGTTCAGATGCCAAAGGAGAGGCCGGGGTCAGGGATGCCTGCTCCCCAGAGCCCCAGCTTTCAATTTGTCCCTATTCCCCTTCACGACACCAAACTGAATCCAGGATAATTAATTCCATGTTCAAGCAGCCATGCTACTCAGAACACTCTGAGCACATTCAAGGGCTCTAAGAACCACTTGTGAAAAGTCTTGCCCAACTAGACTGGGTCAAAAGTCCCCTTCCCCCGGCTTCACCGCAGAGATTGTCTCCATGCTGTGCTCTTTGCAATCCTCCCAACATGGCGGCGTGAAGACCTGCTTCAGCTTCAGAACGGCCACTCCTGGGTCCAGTGCTTTACTCGCTGAGCGAAGTGGCTGGAGGTGTTGGAGCCACACGGCCGTCCGTGGTTGCCACTCTCCATGGGCCTGTGCCAGTCACGGTCCCAGCAGGCCCTGGTTGCACGCCAGCCTGTGGCAGGGGAAGCCAAGAGACTCGTGGTCCCGCCTTTCCAAGGGCACCTCAGTCATTCTGCAGATTGTCCTGGGGATACTACCCGGGGCCTCGGTGAGGCGCAGGGGACAGTATCCGCTCACCTGCTTCCCCCGCCCTCGGTCAGGGCGTCCCCCTTCCTGAGCATGGTGAAGGGACGCGCACCCACTTGGCCACCGCCTGCCCAGTTCAGCCTGGACCAGAGCTGCTCGGGACCTCGGCTCAGCTCACTCCCTGCCTTCCCCATTTCCGACCTTGCTCTGTCTGTCCATTTGTGTTTCATGTCTTTTTGCCAAATGTAGCTCCTGTCTGTGTGGTTTTGGTTTTTTGGTTTGTTTTTTTATTCGGCTCATTTCTGTTCTCTGACTAGTGTGAAAGTTCATGTTCACTCTGCGCCAGCGCCATCCTCCCTGCCTTGCTGGGCCCCACACCAAGCTGCTGGCCTGTGCACTTCGAGGGCTCTTGCTTAGGGCTGTAGGCAGGCTTTCAGGTCCTACCCAAAGGGTCTGCTGCGTTCACTGCACCAAGAGCTTCCAAGGAAAAAATGCTTGCGAGGTTATACAAACATCTGTTCATCGAAAGTGGGCTTGCTTGAGAGACGAGGCTGGTGAGGGGGATTTGTTTGTAATTGGCCTCCTCGGTTGATAGTTGGGTGAGGATGGTGCCTAAGCCCAGCTCTGCCAGCAGCCTGTCCCCTCAAGAGCTCCCCAGCACAACCCTGATTTTGGCAGAGGAAACTGCTGGGGTGGTTTGAGCCAACGGGGCTGTGGAAATGAGCTTATTTGTTCTGCTTCCTCTTCTGACCTCCCTCCAGCCAAGCTGCTTGTATTTATTCCACTTCTGGAGGGGAGGGGGAAAGGGCTGAAAGTACAGGAAAGAGGAAAAGCAGCCTTTAGGGCCTTTAGCGCGACTTCTAGAAGCAGCAGTTCACTGTGTGGCCAGACATGAAATCAAAGGCTGGTGGTACGGATCGGGGAGGAGTTCCCTGTCTCCTCAGCAGAGTCTGAGGGCTCTCCCAGGGAAAATGCCTGTGGCAAAGCATCTCTTGGGTCAAAGCCAGGAGATCACCTGGAACGTCCATGAACTATCAGGGCCTCTTCACACCCAGCCATAGGGCCAGACTTCCATCTTACATGGGATCTGTAGGCTGTCACAGCTCTTCCAGCTTCTCTGGGTAGGACTCCTCCCTGGAGACTGCTCCTGGTGCAAACGGTGCCCCTCGCGTGCATGCCTGCCCTTCATGAGGGCCATCAGGGAAGGGAATCCAGGGAGGCACCTTGCGCTGCTCTGTGCCCTGGGCTGGGCACATACCACTCCACCAAGTGACTCCCCAACTCGAGGGCTCAGAGGGCACCTGGGTCACCAGCCACTCCTCCAGGTTTTCTGGGGCCCCAAGACCCAGCATAGATTTCTGGTTCTTTATACTAGGGGATGGTATGTTCTGAGACAGATTCTGGAAGGATCTGGGGCTGGTGGTGTCTAAGCAGGCTGACATAGATCTACTTAGAATTAGAGTTGCAGGGGCTGGGAAGGTGACTCAGTGGTAGAGTGCTTGCCTTGCATGCTCGAGGCCCTGGGTTTGATTCCTCAGCACCACATAAGCAGAAAAAGTCGGAAGTGGCGCTGTGGCTCAAGTGGTAGAGCACTAGCCTTGAGCTGAAGAGCTGAGGGACAGCGCCCAGGCCCAGAGTTCAGGCCCCACGACCGACGGGGGAAAAAAAAGAATTAGAGTTGCAGGACCATGCTGCCAAGTCAGTGTGGTTCCAGCTGAGTGGAGGGGAGGGGCAAGTGATACTTCTGGGCCGGCACTTGTGAGAGGAGAAGGCAAGAGAGGAATCTACATAGGGCAGTGGGCCTGGTCAGTAAACCTAAAAGTACTGTGGAAGCCCTCACACGGGCCCACGCCTGTAATCCCAGCTAACTCAGGGAGGTGGAGGTCCAGAGGATTGTACTCACTCCTAGGCAAAAAGTTAGAGATGCAGGAGGCATGAATAGGAGGATCACATTCCAGGCCCATCTGGGCAAGAAGATGTAAGGCCTTCCCAGAAAAATAACTATAGCAAAAGGGATTGCTGGTGTAGCTCAAGTTCACAGAGCATGAGACCCCAAGTTCAGTCTCTTATACCACCAAAAACTAAAATTAAAGATAAAAAAATATTTGTGGCTGGGCACTGGTGGTTCATGCTTGTAATCCTAGCTACTCAGGAGGCTGAGATCTGAGGGTCGAGGTTCAAAGCCAGCCTGGGGAAGGAAAGTCTGTGAGACTTAGCTCCAATTAACTACTATAAAACTGGAAGTGGCACTGTGGCTCAAAGTAGAAGCACACTAGCCTTAAGCAAAAAGCTCAGGAACAGAGCCCAGACCCTGAGTTCAAGTCCCAGAAATGACAAAAATAATTTGTGGAGACCTGACATTGTGTCCTCCTCCCTTCAAGCCTCATAACAAGGCTAAAAATACCTGTTGAAAATCACGTTGCACATCATGCATTCTAAGGGAATAGGAGTTAAGCTTCTCTTGGCTCCAGACAGAAACTGCAGATACAATGGAACCATCATAATGCTGAAGTCCAATCAGTGCTTGGTAGAGGCAGAAAGGGGGTGCAGATCTCCCTCATGAGCTCCCCAAATCTGCCTGTCAGCATCTCATTCTCTTTCTAGCTCTCCTAAAGGGAACTGAAGGAATGTCCCCTTATTTCCCTGTAGCAATTTCAAGTTTCCCCTGCTCCGTTTTCTGGCTACTGGGCCTGGCTGCCACCTGGTAGAGTGGCACAACACTGGGGACGTCCTCAGCACCCAGATGTGTCCAGCCACAAGGTGCTCTGTGGGCCCACCGAGGAGGGACCGCAGTCGGGGTGCTGCAGGCCCTTTCTGGCCATCCAGGCCAAAAGGCTCTGCATTCTGCCAGCCTCCCCTCCCTAGACTGCCCATCTGAGTCTGTTCTACAGGAGCTAATGGGCATCCTGGCCAAGGCTCCCAGGGTGGTAGAGTCCGTACAAGGACACCTGTGCATTTGGTCAGGATGGCCCTCCCGGGCACCTTCTCCCACGCAGGCGCAGTGGCAGTGGTTGTAGTGATGTGGCTGCTGCTGTTTTTTGTGTGTGCGTGCATGTGTGTCTTATCTCTTGTTTACCATTTGCTTTTGGTCTTTCCTACTAAACAGCCGCAGCTCCGGAGTCCTGCCCCATAAACATTGAGGAATAGGTATGACATCTACCAAATTATATAAATGAACAAACAATCTACTTTATTTGGGGTTCCAAACTCAACCACCTGATAATCCCCCACCCCGACACTGCCCGGAGCACCACCCTCAGAGGGAAGAAGGACGTTTGGACTCAGGTCCTAAGGGTCCGGAGCCCGCAGGCAGTCTGTGGGCTCTGGCCACATTCTATTACAGCCTCAGGATGGATTTTCACTAAGGGCATTTATGGAGAACTAGCCCGCAATCCTGCTTCATCCTGGTGATTTGCCACTACAGAGCTGTGTGTCTTGGGCTGGCCAGACCCAAGGCTGACCTGGCCTCTGGACCACGCTCAGTCACACCTCCCCATGGGCACCAGGTGCCATGGTATATATGCCCACCCCCATCCCCCAGGGGGAACTGGTGTCTGATAGGTGTGTGAAAGGCCACAGCTTCCTCAGTGTAGGTGAATGGAGCGGGGTCCAAGCTGCTAGGGAGCAGCTAGGAGGCGCCTTGTGAAAGGCGGCCCAAGCCCACAGCAGAGCCAGGCTTCTTCAGGGGTAGAGGCCAGAACCCCTTTCATCACCGATGGACCGCTCTAGCTTCCCTGGAGAGAATGATTATGGAGCCACCTGCTGGCTGGAGGACAATCAAAGGGAGACCCTGGGGAGACAGGGAGGCCTGAACAAATTCTGGAAGACAGGACTCTGCTCAGCACACTATATGATCCTGGGAGAGAGGGGGGCGTCACCATCAAAGGGATGCCCAAGTGCCCAGCGTGCTGTAAACCAGGCGTGAGGCCCTGGTTGGTGTAGATAACGGGAATGGGACATGCTGGCAGACGTGGCGTAGAGGTGTGCTGGGAGTGGGTTTCCAGGCCTGGCAGGTTTCCAGGACAGCAAGATGAATATAGTCGGTGACACGGGGTCCCCAGGCACTGAAGTTCAATCAGTGCTAGTGTCTCCTGTGGGGACAGCACCAGCAACGCAGTCATGGGGAGGGAAGCTGAGTCCCACCCAGACTGTCTGACCCCTGGACCCTGGTGGTTGGCTAGCGCCTTCCTGCCTGTCCTCAGCCACCACCACCACCCCCCCCCCCCCCCGCACCCAGCCAACACACGCACCTTCTCACTCCTCCCCACTTCCCCCCGCTCTGCAAGACACAGCTCAGCGAGGCCATTGCCTTGTCCTCATCCATGGAACAGGTGAACTCCAGACCCAAATAATTTACACACCCCAGTGGGTCCTAGGGTACGTTCCCAAACAGGGAGCACCTGGCACGTGCCACAGTGATGCTTCCGCGGCCCTGCATATGTCAGTGCCCCTTTTTCCCGTTCTTCCTTACTGTGGCTTGCACACACAGGAGTTTCAGGTCCCAAGCATCCTGCTAGCTTCCGCTGAGCTGCACTGCCCTGTGGGAGACGCTGTGTGGACTTGCCCTGCGGCCTGGCTCTTGTAACCTTCATTTTGTTTTCTCCAGGTACCTGGCAGGCTGACAATGTTGTCAGCCACCGGAACAGCCAGCGCCGGCGCTTATCATCCAGCAGCCTGGAGGACCCCGAGGAGAACAGGCCCTGTGCGTGGGGTCCGTTGGCTGTCTGAGAACACCCACCCCTGTATCCAGGCCCCTCCTGTGTGCATTCCATCCATCCTCACTGGACCACTGGCCTCCTGAGCGTCCCCCACGAGATGGGCACGGAATCAGCCCACTCTTCTTCCCAACCTGGTTTCCTATACCTGACCCCCCCCCTCCCGCACCCTCTCAGAAGGGACCAGAAGCTCTCCTTTCTCCTGTGGGCTCACACCCATGAGACCCTTCGCAGAGACTGGCATATGCCCATTGATCTGCTCAGCAGGTGGAGCTGGGGATGCCCCTCTTCTCCTGAGACGGTGGACCAAGCAGCAAGAGTTCGGGCAGCTTAGTTACAGACACCCATCTCTGGCAGTTTCTGGTCTCTGCGCCTCGTAATCACGTCAGAACCGCGGTGTGGGTGTGGGGAAGGCCCCTATGAGAAGGGAGGGCCAGCTTGCGCTCTGTGGACCTGCCCCCTCCTGGGGCACCCAGAGCTGCTTTCTGAGGGGCAGGGAGACGGGGCAACCTAGGTATGAGTTGGCAGCCAGCTCTTCCTTGTGGTCGTGGGGCGGGGCTCCTGTGTTCACGTGCCTGTCTGAGGCCCCAGGTAGGAGCACTTACCCCTCTCCCCGCCCAAGGCCTCATCAGGAGCCGTCAGGAAGGCACCACTGCAAGCAGCTCATTTCTGGAACACCTCTCCGTGTATATCCAGGGGCAGGGAGCAGGGGGTCTTTAATACTACCACCCTCATCTCCACCTTTTTTTTCTTAAATAACTGAAGAAATAGGCTAAGGAAACTATAGACTAGTGCCACTCAAAAGTGGTGTTCAAGCTGATGCCGGTGGCTCATGCCTGTCATCCTAGCCACTCAGGAGGCTGAGATCTGAGGATCACGGTTCAAAGCCAGCCCAGGCAGGAAAGTCCGTGAGACTCTTAGCTCCAGTAAACCGCCAGAAAACCAGAAGTGGCGCTGTATAGCTCAAGTGGTAGAGCGCTCACCTTGAGCTGAAGAGCTGAGGGACAGCGCCCAGGCCCAGAGTAAAACCCCACCACCGACAAAAAAAAAAAAGTGTTCAGGGTCACCAAAGAACATGGTGCAGAGCCCCAGGCCAGAAGCAGTGGCCTGGAAGCCAGAGAGAGGACTGGGGTCAGAGCCTTCCTGTGGAGGTCCCTCCACAGCTTTGAGGTATTCCCAGCCTTCCAGATCTCCTGAGCGTGACAGGCAAGGGGCAGGTAGAGGCGATTTAGGGATGCTCAGTTGGCTACCAAACCACGCCTGTAATCAGCAGGGCTGGCCTGGAAGTTGTTGGGTGTCCACCTTTCTCATCTCAAGGTATTCCTCCTGGCTTCTGGCTTCTGAAAAATGTGCTTATTTAGTGGGACATGTGATAGCCTGGAAAACAGAACCGGAAGTGATTACTGTTAGAAGCAGAAGGCCTCGGGCTGGGCCTGCGATGTGTTAGGATTGACAGTTGTCGCCTACCTAGGTGAACTTTCCAAAAAAAAGGAGCTGTGGCTCTTTTTGGTGTAGCCGCAGAGGCCCAGGAGTACGGTGATTGTCACACTGCCTAGTGGTTGTGGCACATGGCCTGCCCTTCTAGAGAGGGGCGTCTGTCCTGCCTGGTGAGCTTGAGTTCCCGTGTCATGCCCACCCTCTCCGAGAACCACAGGGAGCCCCGCCCCCACCAGGACCTCCTTTCCTTCCTGCGACATTCTCAGACCCTGTTGATATTCCAGGTTTGAACCAGTATAAGTTGAGCAATAACCCTACTTCCTAACTTCCTTGCAGTATGACCCTAGAAGCAGCAGGCAACAGGGAGGGTCCCTCCTCCTGGGTGGTGGCTCACAGGCCCCCCCCCTCACCCAGCAGGCAGGCAGTGTTCACGGTGTGGTGTGATCCACAGCCAAGGGGCAGGAGACTCAGGTAAACAGCAGGAACTCTCAAGAAGAAGCCATTATGGCCAGCCCTTCCTCACAAGCCAGTGCGCCATAACCCTCCTAGGTGGGCCTCGGCTCCGTGGCCAAGACACACCTAGGGTAGTCAGCGTGCCCTTTATACTGCCTTGTCCAATTCCTGCTCCCCTTCTCATTTAGCTCATGGTAAGCAGAAACAGCCCATCCGCCCGAATGGGCCTCCGTCAGCCTGACCAGGAACAGGACAACCTTCACGCCTGCCCTAGTCTGTTATAGAGGTATTCATGTTGAACTTGCCCAGGGAGTGTGACGGAGGCCTGTCTCTGACCACACAGCCTGGCCCCCGGGTGCTCTTGCTTTCTTAGTGGTCTTGATTCCCTCGAAGAATCTTCTTGCCTTCTACCCCGTTCTATCCCACCAGAGTATATGCTCCCCCCCAAGGGGCACCTCCCAGGCACAGACCCAAACACTAAGCTGGCTTTCTGGAAGCGAGGTCCTGCCCACCTGGTGTTGGCATGCCGTCACTCATTTTGCTTAGGAGCTGCGTACCTGGTGTGTGCGCGTGCGCGCTGCGTGCACCGACCACGTGCGCCGTCGGAGGACGCGCACGCGCACTGCAGTGGGGACGTCGAGGATGCAATATTTATGGATTGCTGCATGATTCTTAAAAATGAATAAAACTGTTTACATGGGAAGGAGAGGTGTGAACCCCACGGTGGATTCGTGTGTGGCCTTCCTGCCTCCACTTCCTGACCTGCCTGCAGCCTCAGCTCCAGCTCTGGGCCCCGGCCGCCTTAAACCGGAGACCTCCCCCTCGGCCACTGGAATGGGGGGGGGTGACAGCCCTGCAGAAGCTTCTGGAATGCCAGCTTCCAGGAGCTTGGCGGCACAGGGAGGGAGAGAGCCGCTTACCGGGAGGCGCCGGGGTACCCGGCGCGGGGTGCGGGCCGCGGGTCCGGCTCTGCGGGTGTGAGCGGCAGGTGGCATCGGAGTCAGACCTGCCCGCGGCCACCGGCCAGGGCCCAAAGCGGGGGGGGGCGGGGGAGGAGCAGCCCGAGCCCGCGGGCAGGGGCCCGGCGCTGGCCTCCCGACCCCGCCGCCCAGCCGGCCGGGCCTCGGCGCCGCCCGAAGCCCGACGCGGGCGGGGGCGGGCGTGGCCGTTCCCGGGGCCTCGGGCGCGAGTCGCGCGCTTGGGCGACCCAGCGCGGGGCCCTCCGGCGGGAACGCACCCCGACCCGCCGGCGGGTAGGGGGCTGGGTGGCGCGGGAGAGGGCGGCACGGGGAGGGAGTTCCGACAGAGCCGCCGCCGCCGCCGAGAGGAGCGCGAGCCCGGGGTCTCCTTGGCGACGCGCTGGCCAATAGCAGCAGCGGAAGCTGTTTACGGGGGCGGGGCGTCGCCATGGCAGCGGGAGAAGCCTTCGGAACGGCTACTTAATGCCGGTCCCCAGGCCGCGGGCACTCGGAGAAGCGCCGTCGGGCGAGGGGGGGGCATCGAGAGGCGCTGGCGGGGCCCTCGAGCTGGGGGCACGGAGCCGCGGGGGTGTGGGAGGAACTTCTTCCAGAACCTTCCTCTGGCCCGGGCTGCGCTCTGAGCCAGGTAAGGGACCAGGAGGGCTGCGGGTCACGGGAAGCCAGGGCGTCGCTACCAGCCTGCTCTGCCCACCGATCCCCGACGGAAACGGTGGGGCTGGGGACTGACATTTGAGGGGTTTCGGGGACCCCGCTCCTGCCCCCTCCCCCGTAACTCATTTCCCCTCTCGTCCCGGGATCCCTGATCCTAGAGCCTCCTTTCTGGGTCCGGATCGCCTCCCTCGCCCCAGCCGTGGTTCTGCCCCCCCGTCCCCCCACTTATTTTCCTCCTGCTTGCTGGGGGTCGTCCCGATTTCCCGCGCTTGGACTCCGCTGCCCTCCTCTCCCCCGCTTCCCTGTGTGGCGAAAGAACCGTCGAAGGGCTATGGGAGCGATGGGGCGGGACGGCGGGGGTCAGGCCCGGGCGCTGCAGAGCCCTCCCCGGCGGGGTGACCGCGCAGCCCCCCCTCCGCCCCCCTCTGCCCTCCCCGGGGGGGGGCGGGAGAGCGCTCAGGCCCCCCCCCGCTCTGCTCCCGCAGGCCCCGCATTGGTGTTTGGAGGAGGCGACCCCCGGGTCGCGGGATGGAAGCGCGAATCCCGGAGGCCGCGTAACTGGAGCCTCGGGAAGCGGCGGGCCGGAGAGCGCGGCGGGCCAGCCGGGCTCGGCTCCTGCCTGTTGACCGCCCCCTCGGAGAGTTCCCGCAGACATGGCGGAGAGCTGGCTGCGCCTCTCGGGAGCGGGGCCGGCGGCGGAGGAGGCCGGGCCTGAGGGCGGCCTGGAGGAGCCGGACGCCCTGGACGACAGCCTCACCAGCCTGCAGTGGCTGCAGGAGTTCTCCATCCTCAACGCCAAGGCGCCCACCCTGCCCCCGGGGCTCACGGACCCCCACGGCTACCGCCAGGTGCCCGGCTCGGTGGCGCCCGGGTCCCCCCTGGCGGCCGACCCCGCCTGCCTCGGGCAGCCGCACACGCCGGGCAAGCCCACGTCGTCCTGCACGTCGCGGAGCGCGCCCCCGGGCCTGCAGGCCCCGCCCCCCGACGACGTGGACTACGCCACCAACCCGCACGTGAAGCCGCCCTACTCGTACGCCACGCTCATCTGCATGGCCATGCAGGCCAGCAAGGCCACCAAGATCACGCTGTCGGCCATCTACAAGTGGATCACCGACAACTTCTGCTACTTCCGCCACGCCGACCCCACCTGGCAGGTAGGGGAGGCGCGGGTGGCCGCCGCTCCCTCCTCCCGGCCCCGCACCGGGCCTCCTCCCGGATCTGCCAGGCCACGTGTTGGGGGGTGCAGCTAGGACACCCCCCCACCCCCTCCCCGACGTGTGGAATCCAGTTCTTGACTTCAGAGGACGGAGGGAGGAGACGATGGGGGAAGAGGGGGACACAGGGCTTCAGGGCGCAGATTTCCAGGTTCTGAGGGACCAGCGTCATCTCCCGGGGAGGGTGACTGGTTGAGGGAAGATTCTTGTCCCGAGTTCTAGAATTCCTAGACAAACTGATCCAGGACTTTCTCAGGGACCCAGACTCAGAAGAGGAAAGGAAGTCCTTCCTGCCTGCCTCTGCCCTGGTGCCTTGCAGGCCTCTGGTTTGAAGGAGGGCCGGGCAGGGCAGAGCGCTGGGGGGGTATGAGGGCCCGCCGCTGCCCGGCGCAGGGGGTACGGGGCCTTCCTAACGCCACCGTCCCAGCCTCCACTTCAACCTCTCCCCACTTTCCTGCCTTCACTCTTCCCCTTGTCAGCTAGGCTCCCTAGGGGAACAATTACCTGAGCCAGGTGCTTTCCACAGGGGCTCTTCTTGCTGCACTGGCTTCATGTTCCCAGTCTCCGGAACCCGGCACAGAGCAGCCAAGGGGCCCAGGCCGCCATGTAAACATCCTAGCCTCGCTGAGGTCACTGCCCACCTTGCTTGACTTGCTATTCTAGCCAGGACCCCTGACCCCCGACATGGTGTGGACAGAACTAAGGATCCAAGAACGGACAAGGCAGGAGGAGGATGGGTGTACAGCTGAGTAGACATTGCCCTGAGAGTCTTCAGCCATCGGGATCTAAGGATGCCCAGTGTTCCCTGGGGCAGTGCACCGGCTCATAGTGCCAGGCCATTCCAATTTCCCTGACCTGAGGGCAGGAGAGCCCACCCCACCATGACCCACGGCTTGTGCAGCTCGGGCGCTGTGCAGCTCAGGCCTCAGGAATGAGCCCCATGCTCTTGGCTGGGTAATAATCAACGGAGCCTGGGTGGAAAGAGAGGGTTTGCTGCAGGGGTGAAGGCCCGGGCCAGCAGCTGGCTCAACAAACAAGGAATTACTAGATTCCCCCCACCCCCACTCCTCATCCCTACACACACCCTCCTCACACACACACACACACACACACACACCCCTCACTCGCTTCATAGAGGGCCAGCTAAGAGATGGCAGTCCAGGCCCTGGGGGAGCCTAGGGCTTTGGCCAGGCCACAAACAGCAGTATAAGGGAGGGACAGCAGGGGACTCAACCGGACGGTGGTGGGGAGGTGGGGGGAGCACTGAGAGCCACCCCGCAGCTCAGAGCTCGGATGACTGAGCAGGCAGATATCCCGGCAACAGAGAACAAAAGTCCCCAGCAGCACTCCGGGGCCCCAGTGCCCTGTGGCTGGTGTCCCAGAGCCTCAGATGCCTGGTCAGGGAGAGTGGATCTGTCTTCCCCTTCCTTCCCCCCCCCCATCGGAAAGTTGGGGTGGGGGGGAAGCGGAGGAGGAGGCATGAGGAGCCCCCGGTGTCCCTCCGTCACCGCTGCCCCCCTGACCTAGCCCTTCTTTTCCTCTTGCTCTCTCCCCGGCCCAGAATTCCATTCGCCACAACCTGTCCTTGAACAAGTGCTTCATCAAAGTGCCCCGGGAGAAGGACGAGCCAGGCAAGGGGGGCTTCTGGCGCATCGACCCCCAGTATGCGGAGCGGCTGCTGAGCGGGGCCTTCAAGAAGCGACGGCTGCCTCCGGTCCACATCCACCCGGCCTTTGCCCGACAGGCCCCCCCGGAGCCCAGTGCCGCCCCCTGGGCCGGGCCGCTGACCGTGAACACGGAAGCCCAGCAGCTGCTGCGGGAGTTTGAGGAGGCCACGGGGGAGGGGGGCTGGGGAGCGGGCGAGGGTAGGCTGGGGCATAAGCGCAAGCAGCCCTTGCCCAAGCGTGTGGCCAAGGTGCTGCGGCCCTCCACCACGCTGCTGCTGACCCAGGAGGAGCAGGGGGAGCTGGAACCCCTCAAAGGCAACTTCGACTGGGAGGCCATCTTTGAGGCTGGGACTCTGGGGGGGGAGCTGAGCACCCTGGAGGCCCTGGAGCTGAGCCCACCACTGAGCCCCGCCTCCCACGGGGACGTGGACCTCACCGTCCACGGCCACCACATCGACTGCCCCGCTACCTGGGGTCCTTCCGTGGACCAGGCCGCCGACAGCCTGGACTTTGACGAGACCTTCCTGGCTACGTCCTTCTTGCAGCACCCATGGGACGAGAGTGGTAGCAGCTGCCTGCCCCCCGAGCCCCTCTTTGAGGTGGGGGATGCCACCCTGGCCGCTGACCTGCAGGACTGGGCCAGTGTGGGTGCTTTCTTGTAAGAGGCCAGACCCCACCCCACCTCCGGACAGTGCCCAAGTCAGGGCCCAGAACTGCCCCCCCACACCGGCCCACGGACAAGCCCACCTTCCCAGGCAGGGGCTGGGCCAGGTCTCCCGGGGCTGGCTCCACCAGGTCACACTGCTGCCAGCCGAGGATGTCCTCAGATCCAAGCCCAGGAGGCTGCGAACTGGGGGGGTCCAGGACCAGAATTGCTGCCTCCCCTCGTCGGCACCCCTCCCCCATGTACACACAGTGTTTCATTGATTCACATCTCCCTGCCCCTCTCCCCCACCCCGGGACTGAAGAGAGCCGAGGCCTGGAGGGCCCAGCTGGGCTGGGGAGGAGCAGAACTGGGTCCTCCCCAGAGCACCTCACCCTCCTCACCCACTGCCTCCTGCCTCCTCCCCAGGCCTCCGTCCAGAGAAAGTTCCCAGGTACAACAAATGCTCATTAGGTGACAGCAAATTAAGCCCCGGGAGGCCTCTCCCAGCAGCGCCTCCCTGGGGTCCCTGCTGCTGCTAGGAAGGAACAGGGAAGGGGCTGGGCTGGGGGAGGGGTGCAGAAAGGCAGAACGGAGGTAAGGGGGATGCCCAGGGGGGCAAGATGTTCCCTAAGGCCTCTGGGACCTTCGCCTGGCCCCATCCATAGAGATGGGGTAGAGGGTACGAACCCCCTAATCTTTGAGCCCGACTTGAGGCTGAGAGCAGCGGGAAGACGGGGCTCGGGGGTGTCGGGAAGGAGCAGCCAAGCTGCGGGGGTGGGGGTGGGGACAGCCAGACTAAGGTAGTGCACACCGTAGCTGTAGCTAAGCCTTCACCGAGATGTGCCCAGCTCACTGGAACCTGCGGGCACAGGAAGGGGGCGGCCTCACCCCCCCCTGCCTGCACTGGGGGAGGGGCAGCCGGGCCTGGCTCTTCCCTGACCCCCCACCCCCACCCCAGGGTCTGTGACCTGCATCCACCTCTCCACATGGAAGCGAGTTAACATTTTTCATGGAAACGTATTTACAATAAAAGACATTTTTAAAAATAAAATTTGGGAAAAAAAAAAACATCAAAATGTCCTCCTCAGATCTTTCCCTGGGAAGATGGAGAACCTATTGTTTTGGTTGGGGGGGGAAGGGGGGCAGAAGAAGAGTCAGTGAGGACCTGCAGGGACCCCCCCCATGAGCGCCCCTCCTCACCGCCTCAGGGTCCCTGGGGGAAGAAGGGGCTGAGAGGAGGCCTGCACCTCCGGGCTCCGTCCAGGCACTGGGGAGAGCTGTTGCCCAGAGCTCTGGGGGGGCTGGAGGCCCGGAGGAGGTTCACCCTGCCAGGCCCCACGGACTCACAAAGGCCAGCGTGCCCCGGGCTCATGCCATCCCCCACAAAGAGGGCCTGCCCAGGCTCGTCTGCATCCCTGGCCTGGGTCTATTCCCAGCACCTCCCTCCCTGGTCCTCCCGCGTGGAGGAATGGGCTGGGAGGTTGGCGGGGGGGGGGGGGGGGGGGGGGCTCCAGGGTTCTGTTTCTCCACTCTGGTGTATTTACCTGACCCAGCCCAGGGCAAGGCTAGGGAGGAGGAAGGACCCCAGGGAATGGAGATGGAGGGGGAGGGGGGAGTGTGCTCAGATCTTCCTCCCCCCCTCATTCACACTGGCAGACTCACTTTATGAGGGTCCAGACCACTAGGTTCTTGATGGGGAAACCGAGGCACGAGATGTGTGTGTCTGAGGGTCCAGAACCTTTCAGTCCCTTTCCCCTAGGTTTGCTTGGGACCCACCTCCCCACCCAGCCCACAGAAACACACACACACACACACACACACACACACACACACACACACACAATCCTGCCCAGCTCCGCAGACCTCTTTCCATGTCCCTTTCTTTCTCGTCCTCAAGTTTGGCGGTAGGCCAACCTGGCATTCTTGGGGCTAACTCGCTGCTTTCATTTGCTAATTATTCCAAATATTCCAGAAGGGCACACTCACTGCACAGCAGGAGGGGCTGAGGCCTCTCTGAGCCCAGAAGTCAGCCGCCCATCCTCTCCCAGGCGGCACCCAGACGGGGCTGGCTTAGCACAGCCCCAACTCTTCACACCTCCCCTCCTCCCCCACCTCCTCTTCACAGACCCATGCAACATGAGGGGAACAAGGGGAACACCAGCCTTCACCAGCCCCCCAAGATCAGCTTCGGGCCATGGCCAAGATGGGAACATTCTAGAAGGACACTGGATGTGCCACAGCCTGCTGAAAGGGAGGCCCATGCTGAAAGGGAGAAGGACACAGTCTGAGGCCAGATCTCTAGTGGGGCTCAGAATCCACCTTATTCTCTTTGAGATCCCTAGAAACAGGAGCCTGGTATCAGTGGCCACACCTGTAATCCTAGCTCAGGAGGCTGAGATCTGAGGATCACAGTTGGAAGCCAACCCAGGCAGAAAAGTCCATGAGACTGTTATCTACAATTAACCACCCCTCCCCACCCCCCAGAAAAGCCAGAAGTAGAGCTGTGGCTCAAGTGCTTCAGCCTTGTGTGAAAAATCCAAGCTCAGAGAGGGGCTGGGAAGGTGGCTTAGGAGAGTGCTTGCCTAGCATGCATGAAGCCCTGGGTTCAATTCCTCAGTACCACATAAACAGGAAAAGCTGGAAGTGGTGCTGTGACTCATGTGGTAGATCACTAGCCTTGAGCAAAAGAAGCTCAGAGACAGTGCCCAGGCCTTGAGTTCAAGCCCCAAGACTGGCAAAAAAAAAAAAAGGCCAAGGGACAGCATGAGGCCTTGAGTTCAAGCCCTAGCACTGGCATACAAACACACAAAATCACCAATATTGCAGTCAAAACAGGAGAGAGGAGGGGGGTTGTGTAACCTTTCAGAGGGCAGAACTAGGGGTTGGGCAAGTCTGAATTTTCAGTTCAGTGTATTTCTTTTTTTGCCAGTCCTGGGGCCTGAACTCAAGGCCTGGGCACTGTCCCTGAGCCTCTCTATGCTCAACACTAGCGCTCTACCACTTGAGCCACAGCACCACTTCTGGCTCTTTCTGTGTATGTGGTACTGAGGACTCGAACCCAGGGCTTCATGCGTGCTAGGCAAGCACTCTACCACTAAGCCACACTCCCAGCCCAGTTCAGCATCCCTGCTCTAACCAATGAGCAGGGTGGCTCTTTCTTTAAAAAAAAAAAAAAAAGTTCATTTAATCTCAGTATGATGTCCCTAAAGCAAGGCTGCACTCTCTGGAACCTCCTATAACCAGGATTTGGGTCTTAGTGTCAGTCACCCAATCCACAGAGCATGTGCAAGCTCTGTGCCAGCTCTTCAGTTCAAAATCACCTGGTGCCTTCCATACCTTACTTCTTTTGAGCCCATGACAGGTTCTCTGAACAGGTTGATAACAGGGACTTAGAAACAGCTTTGGCTGGAAAGCAAACCAGCCCCTTCCTTGGGATTGAACTTGAAAGCAGGACAAAAGTTTAGCATCTCCGCATCTAGGTTGCGTCCTGTCTCCTTTGCTGAGTCTTCCCTGTGATCACCTTGGGTTCCAGGAAGGACAGGATGGATGGAGAACACCTCTATGACAAGTGATCAAAACTACCCCCAATGGAAGGAACCCCAGAGCCTCACAGGATGGGACATCATTCCCCAAATGAGGACAGTTATCTCTGAGGAGGAGCCTGTACCCCAAGTAAGAGTTCCAGATCACTCCTCTCCAGTGAGGGGCAGCCATGACAATGTCAGAGGTCACGATCAGCCAGATCACTCTTCACTCAATTCTGAAAGTTTTCTCCCCTCATCCTTCCTCTAGTTAAACCTAAAGCTCCTACCTCTACCCCAAGATGAGCTGGAACTCGCCCTTTGCCTCTTCCCATACTGATTTTATTTTTGTTTCTGTGCTAGTCCCAGAGCTTGAACTCAGGGCCTGGGTGCTGTCCTTGAGCTTCTTTTGCTCAGGGCTAGCACTCTACCACTGGAGCCACAGCTCCACCTCTGGCTTTTTTGGTGATCAATTAGAATGAAATGTTTCATGGGCTTTCCTGCCCAGGTTAGCTTTGAACCGTGATCCTCAGATCTCAACCTCCTGAGTAGCTAGGATGACAGGTGTGAGCCCCTGACTCCCAGCTTCATTGTTGCTTTCTTTATTCTATGTGTTGAGGAGAGTGGCTGGACCTGCCCTGAAGGGGGGTTTCTGGTCTAGAACTCTAGTGACAGGGTGACGTGATTGCATTCTCAAGGACTGGGGAAGAGGGGAAGGAAGCCCTTTCATTTCCCAAAAGAAGGAGCCAGCCTTCTGTCCCTGAAACTCCTGCTTCTTCCCTTTCCCCACGAAAACCCCCAGCCAAGAATTCTACAGCAGGAGGGGAGAAGAAAGGATTGGAGCTGGGGCCTTGGAGCCTTCCCCTCCCACCCTAAGTACTTCCTATTCCACAGGACAAGCCACAATGGGGGGGGGGGGCAGTGACCCTCAGACCTAAAAGCCCCTGGAGTTCTCCCCCAGCCTTGCTTTGAATTCTGCTTTCCTGGAACAAACTGGCCAAGGCCCTCTTCAGCGCTGAGCTACACCAGGGGCAGGAATATGGCAGTCCATCCCGCCATCACCCCTCCCCCTCCCCCTGGGCAGTACACAGGCCCCCCATCCTGCCCCCAGCTTCCTGGCAAAGGCTGGAGGCCGGGAAGGAAGTGGGCAGGTGGACAGGAGTCAGGTGCAGCTCCTTGCTGGGCTGAGGCCCAAAGGTAAACAGGTGTATTTGGCCTTCTCCAGCAGGGGGTAGCAGGCTGGCCCCTTGGGGCAGGCCTGGGCCTGTCAAGGTGGGGAAATGGGGTGTTGTTCACAATGGGGTGGGACTGGGGCCCAGGATGGTTGAAACATTCTTGTGGGAGAAGGAAAACACAGGTGTCACGGAGGGGAGGAGGTGGGGGAGACGAACAGGGGATGGGGCTCTCAGATGCCACTGGGGGGTGGCAGGGGGAGAGCTGTGTCCACCAGCATGGACAGGGGCAGGGGGGCAGGGGGTGCAGCCTGAGGAAGCCCCGTGGGGTTGCCTGCCCCCCCAGACCACACGCAGACCACGCATGTCTGTCCGGCTCTGCCGCCCTAGGTCAGAGCCACCCCGACAGATGGGCAAGCCGAGGCCTGCACATGACCTGTGTGCATCAGGAACGGGAGGGGGGCACCTTGCAGGACGCTGTCCCCCAGTAACCAACCAGCCTGAACAAAGTCCTCCCTGCTGCCCCTACCCCCGCAGATACCCTGGAGTCCTAGACCCAGAACACACCGCCTCCCCCGCCCCGCCCCTTCGGACCTGCTCTGAGTGCAAAGCCTGAGCCTATTATGACCTAGGCCCCAGGCCTGGGAGGCAGCCACAGCGCCCCTGAGCATGTCACTGTACCCCTACCCCTCCACCCGCCTTGCCCCATCAGCCCAGCCCACCCTTGGGGCCCCTAGAAGTCCAAGCCACAGGCAGCCCCGCAGCGCCGCTGTTTGCCCAGGACATTAAGCCGAGACTGGGAATCTGCCAACTGTGCTCGCCGCACTCAGCCACCCGTGAGCTCTGCCAGTGTCTGCTCCCCCTGCCTGCCCCCTGTCTTACTGGTCGTGACACAGCATCCCGGTTGCCTCCAACTGGTCTGAAGTTAACCGTGTCTGAGCTGGGCAGGGCTGAGGCAGGGCGGCACACAGAACCTCTGAGTGGTTAAAGTCTCACTTGTCTATAGGTCTGCTCATTCCATCATCCATCCTGCCTCTGTGTTTTGGTTTTGTTTGGTCCTAGAGCTTGAACTGATGGCCTGGGTGCTGTCCCTGTCTCTTTTGGCTCAAGGCGAGCGCTCTACCACTTTGAGCCACAGCACCACTTCTGACTTTCTGGTGGTTCATCGGAGATTAGAGTCTCATGGACCTTCCTGCCCGAGCTGGCTTTGAACCACGATCCTCAGATCTCAGCCTCCTGAGTAGCTAGGATTACAGGCAAGAGCCTCCGACACCCAATTCTCAGGTCTCTGTTTGAAGCATCCGTCCCAGAGACCAGCTGGTTGAGTAGTTATTCCCTGTATGACTGGATGGATGAACATATTGGCTGGCAG